TGACGGTTGCTTTTTCCCGGGAGTCACGGTAATCATCATTTGTCACCTTCCCAGCTGGCTTCAGACAAGCAAAGTCAATGGGGGAAGCCGGATTCACTTAATGACTGTGATTCACTTAATGACTGAAGTGATTTGCTTAACAACTATGGTAAAAAATGGGACATTGCTCACTTAACAACTGAATTGCTTAAAATGTTGGGTTCAATTGTGGTCGTAAGTCAAGGACTTCCTGTAATATATTACCCTCAGAGGCAACCAACAAGGTGGTTTTCAGAAATATGCAACAGACTCTGGTTTTTCAAGCGCAAAAACACTTACACAAAATCCATATATTAGTCTGATGCAATGCAATGTTTGCATCATGAAAAACATCCACATGCAAACATGCCTAGGCTGAAAATTGAGCCTTTATAGGTAGTCCTTGACTTATGACCACAATTGAGCCCAAAATGTATGTTGTTAAGCGAGACATTTTGTTAAGTGAGTTTTGCCTCATTTTACAACCTTTCTTGCCCCGGTTTTTAAGTGAATCACTGCAGTTGATAAGTTAGTAACCCAGTTGTTATGTGAATCTGGCTTCTCCATTGACATTGCTTGTCAGAAGGTCACAAAAGGGGATCATGTGACCCCGGGACACTGACCGTCATAAATATGAACCAGTTGCCAAACGTGTGAATTTTGATCACACGTTCAAGTGGTCGTAAGCCACACTTTCAGTGGCGTTGTAACTTTGAAGGGTCATTAAATGAACTGTTGTAAATCGAGGACTACCTGTATTAGATTAGCTTGCTTTGTTGTGATCAGATATAGGCTGGGTTCACACAACATGTTGAATCTAATCAGCAGAAGGTCTAGTAGTTATATTTCTGCAATATGTTAAGCGTGCTAAGTGTTCACTGGATTTTGTTGTGGTTTAAGGTGTTAGGAAGCTGCGGGATGGCAGTTGTGGGGCTCAATTGTATGATGTTAACCCCTGAAATGGGTTAATGGTTGTAGCTCTCAGACTTAAAGGTCCAAAACAGGCGACGTACTTTCATATAAGCCTGCGCATATTAACTTGCGTGACATTTGCATCGTTTGCATTTTATTATCCATGACATTTTGAGTCACTTGGCCCCGGCAACCTCCGAAGAGAACAACCTCTGGGGAGGACCGTATCACTGATAACACTTCATTTTCAAGCGATCCTGTTGAAAATGACACTCTCTCAATTCACGATTAAAGGCGAATCTACGCATCCAGGGCTGAGATTCAGACATTTTAGCAACCGGTTCTCTGCCCGGTTGCTGGGTGGGCGTGGCCATGGTGGGTGTGGCCTACTCTGCCTCCTGCACCAAGGGCGTTTTCACCCTCCCCAGACTCTGGAGGCTTTCCTCGAGCCCCCGGGAGGGTGAAAACCGCTTCCCCCGGGCTCTGGGGGCCCTCTGGAGGCCGGAAACAGGCCTGTTTTCGGACTTCCGGTACTTCCAGTAGGCCCGTTTTTTGCCCTGCCCAGACTCCAGAGGCTTTCCTTGAGCCTCCAGAAGGGCGAAATTGGCCTCCCCTGGGCTCCGGAGGCTCTCCCGAGGCCAGGAATGGGCCTGTTTCTGGACTTCTGGAACTTCCGGTAGACCCGTTTTTCGCCCTCCCAGAGCCTCCGCCCGGGCCCTACACTTACGTCACCTCCAAAACAGGCTGTGTAGAGACTCCTGGGAGGGGTGGGGCGGGCGGGATCAGCCAGTCCTTGCAACTACCGGTTTGGCGAACCAGATTAAAATTAACATCCGGTATGCCCAAACCGGTCTGAACCGGCTGAATCCCACCCCTGTACATCAGAGGTGGGTTGCTCCTGGTTGGGCCCGGTTCGGCTGAGCTGGTAGCGGTGATGATGTGACGTCACCGAACCGGTTCTCTGTGACTGGGAGCTGGGCCCAACCACCCACTCCCGCTTTATTCCTACCTTTGTTTCTTGTTTTTTAGCCCAGCTGATAGGTGCGGCAGAGTGGATTGCCGCACCTCAGCTGGCCAGAAACCTAACGCGCTTGTGAGGAGACAAATTAATTGATCTACTCCTCTTCTTGGATTATTTGATTTTTTTTTCATCCTGCCTTTATTGTTTATAAATAACTAAAGGCGGCAATCATGCCTAATACACCGTCCTCCTCCTATTTCCCCCACAACAACCCTCTGAGGTTAGTTGAGTTGAGAGAGGGACTGGCCCAAAGTCACTCAGCTGCTTTTCATGCCTAAAGCAGGACTAGAACTCAGTGTCTCCTAGTGATTGGCCCAAGGTCATCCAACCTGCTTTCATGACTAAGGTGGAACTAGAACTCGCCATGTCCTGGTGATTGACCCAAAGTTACCAGCCAACATTCATGTCTAAGGCAGGAGTAGAACACAATTTCCTGGTAATTGACCCCAAGTTCGGCTTTCATGTCTTGGTGGGGCTGGAATTCACAGTCTCCCGGTTTCTAGTCTGATGCCTTACTAGACCAAATGGCCAGCTCAATGACATTACGCAAAACTTTTTCCTGCATTCAAGAAAAATTTTGTAGATTTTAAATTGACAGCTTTTAATAAACACTCCTTACCCAGCTAATTGTGACATGGCTCATTGGATAAAAACATTCTGCTTCCTGGCTCTAAGGAGATGGAGCAGATGGCTTCAAATGTCAGCTGATTCCTGCAAAGACCTTTGGACCACTTACAGGAACCTCGTTTTCCATCGAGGCTTAAGGGTGTATAATTTTTGCAACCCTGCTATGCTTTTTTAAATGCATAGGTCTTAAAGTGGTAGAAGGAAATTCTAGATCCATGATGGCGAACCTATGGCACCCATGCTACAGCTGGCAGGTGGAACCTTTTCTGCAGGCACGTGAGCCATCGCCCAGCTCAGCTCTACCGCGCATGTGCGGGCGCCTCCCGCCAGCCAGCTGATTTTTGGGATGTGCGGGGGTGGGGGGCAGGGTGCATGTGGGAGAAGCGCTCACATGTGCGGGGGAGAGCACGGGGGAGGCAGCACCTCCGCACGGCCCATTTTTGGGCCCATGAGGCTGCAGGGCGGCATACTAGGCCCAAAATGGGGCATGGGGGTGTGCAGTGCTTGCCCCCACGGCCCGTTTTTGAGGCCATGAGGCTGCAGGGAGGCCTACTAGGCACAAAATGGGGCGTGGGGGTGTGTGATGCGCCCCCCCAGCCCATTTTTGGACCCATGAGGCTGCAGGGAGGCCTACTAGGCCCAAAATGGGGGATGGGGGTGTGTGACGCGCCCCCCCCTCAGCCCATTTTTGGACCCATGAGGCTGCAGGGATGCCTACTAGGCCCAAAATGGGGGATGGGGGTGTTGTGTGCGTATGTGCGAGGGGCAGAGGGAGCATGGAGGAGTCGTGTGCACATGCACAGGGGGGCGCATTGCATTATGGTGCCGGTGCGTGCGCACTTTCGGCACACAACAAGAAAAAGGTTAGCCATCACTGTTCTAGATTAACGACAAAAGCAAGGCGAGAGGAGGAATCAGGAAGAGAACATCCAATGGTCATGCTTATAAATGGGCTGATTTCTCATTATTGGTCTGAAATAGCTTTTGATCTGGGAACACAAAATGCAAATCCATCGTACAGATAATCCTCAACTTACAACCATTTCCTTCGTGACCCTTCGAAGTTACGACAGGACCGAAGAAAATTATTTATGACCATTTTTCACACTTATGACCGTTGCAGCATCCCCGTGGTCATGTGATTAAAATTCAGTCACTTGGCAACCGGTTCATATTTATGACCGTTGCAGGATTCTGGGATCACGTGATCCCCTTTTGCGATCTTCTGACAAGCAATGTCAATAAGGGAAGCCGGATTCACTTAATAACCGTCTTTCTAACTGTGGCAAAAAGATCATAAAATGGCACAAAACTCGCTTAACAACCATCTCACTTAGCAACTGTCTCTCTTAGCAACAGAAATGCTGAGGTCAATTGTGGTCGTAAATCAAGGACAACTTCTATAATTGTGATTGATGATGAGTTGTCAATTCGATACACTGGAATTACAAATTTAATTGATGCAGGATGGTATTGTGGAAATGGTTATAACAGTGTCACCAACATAATTTGTGTGGGTTATGTTAATTCTATTTAAATTCCAGAAGTTTCTACACCAAAATACGCAGACATAAAAGTGTAGTATAGAACTAGCAACCAATTTGATTCAATTAAACATTTCAAAATGTATCAGAGCAACAAGCAACGACACTAAGGGAGTTCTAGGTGTGTGCTTGCTCAAACCAAGTGTGGTAACATCCCTTTCTATTTAAAAAGGGATTTATTCTCATTTATGACTTATGGACTCCAACTTCATTTAATTATTTTAAATTTTATATTGTTGTTTTGTCTGTGTTTTTAAATAGGCTGTACATCGCCCTGAGTCCTTCGGGAGAAGGGCGGTATAGAAATAAAATTATTATTATTATTATTATTATTATTATTATTATTATTCAACTATACAGATCACACAGAAGAAAAAAGGCGGGGAAAAAAGGGAAACTCCCCCTTTACACCCACAGCAACCAATTATAACATAGATTGCATCATGCATGAGTCAGCACGCGTAACTCAGCGGTGGGGAACTAGGGCCCTTTTATAACTTGTGGACTTCAACTCCCAGAATTCCTGAGCCGCACATGCTGGCTTAGGAATTCTGGGAGTTGAAGTCCACAGCATGGCTGGCTCAGGAATTGTGGGAATTGAAGTCCACAAGTCATAAAAGGGCCCTAATTCCCCACCCGTGCCTTAATATGAGCCAGCAATGATATGAGTTTTCCTGGGAATTCGTTTAATCAATGTACACCCTGGATTTAACTTTTATGCAATGCTGACAGCTTGCTACATAACTCCAGTCATGTTTTCAATAAAAGGAAACAATGTACAGTGCCACATAAAACGAATGAAGTTGCTTTTCCACCTTGGTTGTTGATGCAATAAAATAACTTTTGTGAACGGTTCAGACATTTCCCCCATCACTTACTTCATCAGTTCAGGATCCTCCTTGTCATCCTTCGTGGGTGGGATTTTCATTCCACTTTTCTTGGCACGAGGGCAACCTGATAAACTATAGGATTTTTTTTTTTAAAACAGAAGAAAAAAAAAAAACCAAGGATATCACAATGCATTTGGCAAATTCTTTCCCGTCCTGATGCTAGTTGCCTTAACAGGTAGTCCTTTTTTTTTTTTTTTAAATTTGATTTATATGCCGCCCTTCTCCGGAGACTCAGGGCGGCTTACAGTGCGTTAAGCAATAGCCTTCATACTTTTGTATATTTTTACAAAGTCAGCTTATTGCCCCCACAAACTGGGTCCTCAATTTACCTACCTTAGAAAGGATGGAAGGCTGAGTCAACCTTGAGCCTGGCGAGATTCAATCTTACTTTAATTGCAGACAGCTGGTGTTAAATTACAGTGCTTCTGTCAGTTGAGCTAAACCAGGCTCAACAATAAGTCCTTGGCTTATAACCATCTGTTTGGTGACTGTTCCAAGTCACAACAGCACTAAAGTGACTTCAAACTGGTCCTTGCACTTATGACTAGTTCAAACTGGGTGACTTTGGGACAGTCACCAGGAGATTGTGAGTTCTAGTCCTGTCTTAGCATAAAAGCTACTGTGTGACTTTGGGACAATCACCAGGAGATTGTGAGTTCTAGCCCTGCCTTAGCATGAAAGCCATTTGTGTGACTTTGCGACAATCACCAGGAAATTGGGAATTCTAGTACTTATGAAGCGTGTGTGATTTTGGGACAATTACCAGGAGATTGTGAGTTCTAGTCCCACTTTAGATATGAAAGCTGTTTGAATGATTTTGCAACAATCACCATGAGACTCTGAATTCTAGTCCAGCTTTAGGCATGAAAGCCAGCTAGGTTTTTGTGGGGAGAACAGGGGGAGTAATGTGTATTAAATATGTCTGCAGGATGTGAGTTATTTTTAACAAAAAATAATAAAGGCAGGATATAAGTAAATAAAGGTAGTCCTTAACTTACAACAGCTCATTTAGGGACTGTTTGAACTTACATCGACGCTGAAAAAATTGACTATTTTTCACACTAATGACCATTGTGGCATGATCCCCATGGTCATGTGATCAACTGACTCATATTTATGACAGTCGCAGTATCCCGGGATCCTGTGATCATCTTTTGTAACCTTCTGGCAAGGAAAGTCAATGGGGAAAGCCAGATTCACTTAACAACCGTGTTACTAACTTAACAGTGACTCACTTAACATCTGTGGCAAGAAAGGTTGCAAAATGGGACAACAAATTAAAAAATTTCTCACTTAGCAACATAAATTTTGGGCTCAATTGTGGTCGTAAGTTGAGGACTACCTATAAATAGCTAACTAACTCTGGCTACGATGGATGTCACTAAAGAAAGAGGAATTTCTACTATCTAAATCAGGAGTCCTCAAACTTGGCAGCTTTAAGACTTGTAGACTTCAGAATTTTCCAGCCAGCATAGCATAACTGGCTGGAGAATTCTGGGAGCTGAAGTCCACAAGTCTTAAAGCTGCCAAGTTTGAAGGCCTCTGATCTAAATAATTTATCAGCTGGGCCCCAACTTGGAGAAATCTTCCTTACACCCTCCTTGCTCCCAGGAAAGTATTAATTTTTCATTTTCCCCGGAAAATGAACATCTCATTTTCATCCTCACACAGAAAAGGAACCATTCTTCCCCTTTGATATTCCCACATGTGCTTTGATCTGATAATTTCCGTTTCCACACCTCAGAAGGGAGGCAAGCGGTGGTGAAAATTAAAAAGAAAATGGAAAAAAGAAAAAAAAAGACAGCCGTTTGCTTTGAGGGGAGCAGCTTTTGCAATTAATAGTGTCTGGCTAGGAAGGTATTTGCTAGCAGATGGCAGATGTTAATGGAGTTGTTCAAATGGGAGAGACAGCCGAGGTCTTCATTAATGTTTGAAAAAAGATAATAGGAGTCATAAATACGGTGGTGTTATTAACAGGAATTTTGCAGTCAGCTAAAATCTGACCCTTTCATCTTTATGCAGCGGCAGGGAAGGTAAATACCTCTAATCTGATTCTGGGAAGTTTAGCTTTTAAAAAAAATCAGATTCAAGAGATGAAAGGCGGATTCGTATTTTGCTAACTTTTCCGAATACATTGCTATTTGTCTATTGCGCCAAGAAAAAAAAAAAGATGTTGAGACTTGGGGAAAAAACGCAGAGAAGAGCAACTAAGATGATTTAGAATAGAATAGAGTTGGAAGGGTCCTTGGAGGTCTTCTAGACCAACCCCCTGCTTAGGCAGGAAACCCTACACCACTTCAGACAAATGGTTATCCAACGTCTTCTTAAAAACCTCCAGTGTTGGAGCATCCACAACTTCTGGAGGGAAGTTGTTCCACTGATTAATTGTTCTAACTGTCAGGAAGTTTCTCCTTAGTTCTAGGTTGCTTCTCTCCTTGATTAGTTTCCACCCATTGCTTCTTCTCCTACCTTCAGGTGCTTTGGAGAAGAGCTTGACTCCCTCTTCTTTGTGGCAGCCTCTGAGATATTGGAACCCTGCTATCATGTCTCCCCTAGTCCTTCTTTGATTAAAGGCCTGGAGACTAAAACATATATGAAGAACGGTTGCAGGAATTGGGTTTGGCTAGTCTAGAAAAAAGAAAGACTAGGAGGCACATGATAGCAGACTTCCAGTATTTGAGGGGCTGCCACAAAGAAGGGGGGGTGTCAATTTATTTTCCAAAGCACCAGCAGGCAGGACAAGAAACAATGGATGGAAACTAATCAAGGAGAGAAGGAACCTGGAACTAAGGAGAAACTTCCTAACAGTGAAGACAATTAACCAGTTGAGCACTTTGCCTTCAGAAGTTGTGGCAGCTTCATCACTGAAGTTCATTAAGAAGAGACTGGATAGCCACTTATCTGAAATGGTATAGGGTCTTCTGCCTGAGGAGGGGGCTGGACTAGAAGACCTCCAAGGTCCCTTCCACCTCTATTCTGAATTGAATTGAAAGAGAAACTAGAAAGGACTTCAGAATTGAAACTGAATTTTTTTTTTCAAGGAATGCATATGTAATACCCTGTTTCCCCGAAAATAAGACATCCCCTGATAATAAGCCCAGTCGGGCTTTTGAGTGCATGAGCTATAATAAGCCCTCCCTGAAAATATTTAAATGCAGAGCTGGAAATCAGGTAAGACAGCAAGAGGAGCCTCATCTTCCTCCACATGCCCCAAAATAACAAGACCTCCCCGAAAATAAGGCCAAACACTTATTTCGGGGTTCCAAAAAAATATAAGACAGGGTCTTATTTTCGGGGAAACACGGTATGTATTTTAGTCACATCCTGTCCAGTCCTCTAGACCCAAGATAGGAAGTTGGAAAATTGCAGAGGGAAGGGGGGAGATTATTATTATTTTTATTGCATTAGAAAGTTCCTTAGAATCACTTTTTTTGTTTTTATTTGAATTTGACTAGTTCTCTCTAACAGCTATTTATTATTATTTTATTAGTTCAATTTATGTGCCATCCTTCTCCGGAGACTCAGGGCGGCTTACAATGCTTTTAAGCAATAGCCTTCATACTTTTGTATATACCTGCTTAGTAGGGCTTTTGGCCCCCCCAAGTGGTGTTTTTTTTTATACAAAGTCAGCTTTTATACAAAGGACCCACAAATCGGGTCCTCATTTTACCTACCTCAGAAGGATGGAAGGCTGAGTCAACCTTGAGCCTGGTGAGATTTGAACTTGCAGTAATTGCAGGCAGCTGGCAGTTAAATACTACTTTAACAGTAGTTTAGTCCACTGCATCACCAGGCTCCTGAGCTGTTTTATACTCTTCATGCCAATAAAGGAGAATATTTGTAGTTCGGGGTTGAACTGTGAGATCCTTTTTGCTCTCTGAGCTTGATTGTTTTCTTGCAGGCATTTCATTACCCAACTGGGTAACATCATCAGTGCGAGCAAGAAGATAACCAAGGCCAAGGAGCACCGAGGATTCTACTGTTCATGGTTATGCACATGAGTGGAGAACAGCTATAAGTACCTGGCTCAATAGTAGTAACCGTGAGAGGGATCTAGGATCATTTAAATATGAGCCAGCAGTGTGCTGCAGCTGCCCCAAAAGCCAACACAGTTTTGGGCTGCATTAACAGTGGGATACTGTATGTACTTTAAAAAATCTTGTTAGCTGCCCAGAGTCAGGATAGTGCAGTGGTGGGATTCAGCCAGTTCGGGAGAACCGGTTGTTAACTTTCTAGCTTTTTGGAAAACTGGTTGTTGGAAGAAATCATTAGGGCAGAGAACCGGTTGTTAAATTACTTGAATCCCACCACTGGAATAGTGAGATGGGTGGCTAAATAAATCAGTTTTAAATGAATGCATAAATAAGTGGGATAGGATGGAGGAAACAATCAAGGATGGCGGCCATGACCATAACTTAGACAATGAATGGTGTGGTTGTAGCTATCGTCTTTGACGTTTTTGGCTTTCCTTCAAAAGAGGCCTGGGCTCATCAGTTCCCCAAATATACTAATTCTCCTCTTCTCTTTCTGCCACCTGTCTCATTTCTGTATACACATTTTCAACTTACCTCCTATGTGATGCGTAATTTCCTGTTATATGACCGGACCCATCACAGCCGGGAGTTGGGCACCTGAGAGGGAGGAATGAGGAGGAGACGGAAGGAGGGAAGGAGGAAGGAAGAAGAGGGGAGGGATAGAGAAGGAAGAAAAGAAGGAAGAGGGAGAGAAGAAAAAGAAGAGGAGGAGGAGAGGGAGAAGGAAGAGGGAAGGAGAGAAGGAATAGAGAAGGGAAGGCAAGCAGGTAGGGAGGAAAGAAGGAAAGAAGGAAGGAAGGGGAAAGGAGGGAAGAAAGAGAAGGAGAAAAAGAGGGAGAAGAAGAAGAAGGAGAAGAAATAATTATCATCATCTCGGGAGTGAGATAGGAAACTTTTTTCTTTTTTTTACTGTAGATAGGTAAATTTCAATGAAGGAAAATGCAGATCGATGTAAACACGATTGTTAATTTGCTTCCTTACAGTTTACACATCAGAGTAAGGCATACCTAGTCCATTACTTCAGAGTCAATTCTTTTCATCCAAGGAGTTTGAGGATTGTGTTTTCTCTCTCTCTCTCTCTCTTATTGCTGTCATTTGTCACTGAAGACATATTGTCTTCTCGGATTCTCGGAACACAGAAAAGTGAAAGCAAACTATTAAACCGAGGGGATGCATGGACCTATCAAATTTATTACTATTGAATGGAGATCGGAAGCCGGATGAAGATGGGAACAAAAATCTGTGCTGGAACGAAGATTCAAACAATTCAGAGACACTTAGTTTTGAAAGAGAGGGGCCAAACTAACAAATTCAACCCTGCTCTCTTCAGGAATTCAAATAGGTAGTCCTCATTTAGCGACTGCCTTGTACAGGAACCATTCAGTTACACCAATCACTTTATGACCAATCCTCACTCTTACCACCTTTGCAGGTCTGTAAAGCAAAGGAAAGCTGAAGGCAGATCAGAAGCGCAGCTGTAGTTTCATTGAGCGACCGCTTTGCTTAATGACTGCGTTGCCAGTCCCAGTAGTCACTAAACAAGGACCACTTCTTTATTATTTCCAATCATTGGTGGACCGGTTTGTGCTTGAAGACATCCAAAAAAGAGAGCCCACCAATGCCTGCGGTTATAAATTCTACTATTGAGTGGAATTTTACTACTTGAACTCTCCTTTATCATAACCTACAGGTAGTCGTCGACTTACAACTGCAATGAGGTTGCACATCACAGTTGTTAGTTCAGTCATAAAGCGGGTCACCCTTGTGGCCAACCTGAATTTACGATCTTTTTTGTGGTGGTGGTTGTTTGCCATGGGCTGTTTTGGCAGAAAATCGGAAATGTTGATTTTTAACAAAAACATTGTAAAATGTAGTCATGTGACCATGAAATGCTACAAATGGCCGTAAATGCAGGCTGGTTGCCAAGCAACCCACATGCAGTCATGTGACCTTGGTGGGGGGGGCTGTTGGAACTCCAGAAGTGAGCCCTAGAAGTAGGGGAGGCCCATCATAACTTCAAATGGTCACTAAGTAACCCAACGTAAGTCGAGGACTATCTGTACAACAATGGGCATGAGTACAGGCAGTCCTCAACTTACAATAATTTGCTTAGTGGTTGTTCAAAGTTATAACGGCACTGAAAAAAGTGACTTATGACCATTTTTCACAGTTATGGCCATTGCAGCATCCCCATGCTCATGTGATTTACATTCAGTCTCGTGCTTTATATTGAGATGCTTGACAACTGACTCAATTTATGACGGCTGCAGTGATCCAGGGGTCATGTGATCCCCTTTTGCGACCTTCTGACAAGCCAAGTCAAGGGGCAAACCAAATTTACTTAACAACCGTGTTACTAATTTAACAACTGTTTAAATTCACTTAACAAAGGTGGCAAGAAAATTGGGCAAAACTCACTTAACCAATTTCTCACTTAGCAACATACATTTTGCACTAAGTTGTGGTCGTACATCGAGGACTACCCGTACTGGGAAAAGCTCCTGGTTCTGAAATTGTTAGGATGTTATAAGCCACCCAGAGTCACTTTGTAGCAAAATGGGCCGCAAAATAAATTTAATAATTAATAAAAAGAAACAAAATAAATAAATCATTCTTCATGGATAACCCACAGGGGCTTTTAAGTAGAACAAAGGAATGGTGTCATATCGGTCATGAAGATTTTTGAGGATTTCAGAGCTCCAAAAGTTTCTTTCTTTTTTTTTTTTACTGCCTATACTTGTGAATAAATCGAGAATTTTAGCTGTCAAAAATTGGGTTTGGCTTGTCTGCGAACCAGAACTCTGATTTTTAAAAGCCGGTCACAACCTTAAAATTGTGCAGTTTTATAAATGATGCAATAGTTTGCAGTTTCGCTGTTGCTATGGTTAAATTTTTGAGGATCAGTGGTGCACTTTTCATGATATTTTGCTTGAAATTTGGAGGGTCAGTTTATCTGCAGATAGGCTTATCCATTATATGTGATATTTTATATATATATATACCTTTACAGGGAGGATACCTGAGAAGTGGGTGTGGCTCACTGATGACGCCTTACAAGGCAGAAATAGCTATCTGAGTCTCCCAGAGAGCAACACAGAGTTGCTGCTTGTCAGCTAGAAATAAAAAGCCCAGAAACTTGTGAATGAGATTTACAGAACCAGGGCTGTAGAACATCTTAGCTTACATAGGTAAAACCTGGCTAGAAAGAATATGCACATAAAAGCCTATGAAAAAGAAAAAGATACATTGTACCTTTACAGGGAGGATACCTGAGAAGAGGGTGTGGCTCACTGATGATGCCTTACAAGGCAGAAATAGCTATCTGAGTCTCCAGAGAGCAACACAGAGTTGCTGGCTTGTCAGCTAGAAATAAAAAGCCCAGAAACTTGTGAATGAGATTTCACAGAACCAGGGCTGTAGAACATCTTAGCTTACGTAGGTAAAACCTGGCTAGAAAGAATATGCGTATATATGTATATATATATATATATATATATATATATATACACACAAGCAAAGTCAATGGTGGAAACCAGATTTGCTTAATGACCATGCGATTCATTCATCAACTGCAGTATTTCGTTTAACAAACGTGGCAAACAAGTCATATAAAATTGGACATGGCTTGCTTAACCACAGAAATCCTGCTCACAATTGCGGTTGTAAATTGAGGACTATCGATAATCAACTATCTGCCTCAATTTCCCATTATATGTTATAATTTTTTTTTTTTTAAATTGCCAACTATCAGAAAAATGCAGATAAATCTATGCTTTGAAAGACATGAATGGGCTGGAGATAATTTCCTTTTTCTGGCAGGGGGAAGGAGGAATTTTTATTCCTTCTAAATAGATTAATAGAGGTAGTCCTCGACATATGACCACAATTGACCCAAAATCTCTGAGACATTTGTTAAGTGAATTATGCCTCATTTTACGACCTTTCTTCCCACAGTTGTTAAGTGAATCCTTGCAGTTATTAACGGTTGTTAAGTGAATCTGGCTTCCCCATTGACTTTGATTGTCAGAAGGTTGCAAAATGGGGGATCATTTGACCCCGGGACACTGCAAACGTCATAAATACAAACCAGTTGCCAAACATCTGGATTTTGAACCATTGGCATGCTGCAAATGCTCATGAGTATGGAAAATGGTCATAAGTCACTTTTTTCAAGGCCATTGTAACTTTGAATGGTCACTAAACAAGCTGTTGTAAGTCAAGGACTACCGTATTTTTCAGAGTATAAGATGCTCCGGACTATAAGACGCACCTACTTTTTTTTGGTGAGGAAAACAAGAAAAAGAAATCTGCCTCTGCCTCCCAGCAATTTTGCCTTGTTGCAGCAAACAGCAAATGGCCTGCTTTACTTTCATTTTCGTTTTCAGCATAGCTTGATTAGCACAAGAAAAAAAAGTCTGCTCCCAGCAATTTACCTCCTTGCAGCAAGCAGCAGAGGCCCGTGCAGCAATAGGCAATGGCAATCCCTGCATCCTGAAACAGCTGAGGGTCGGGAGGTCGATCCAACGGACAATCAACTTGTGCTAATTAGGCTGTGCTGAAGCTGAAATGGGCTGTTTCTTCTTGCTGTTTGCTGCAAGGAGATAAATTGCTGGGAGGCAGAGGCCAAAGGGTGAGGGCCAGTGGGTGGGCAGGGATACATTCGGTGTATAAGACGCACTCAAGTTTTCACTCCCTTCTAAGGGGGAAAAAGGTACGTCTTATACTCCAAAAAATATGGTACCTGTAGACTCCCATTTTTTAAAACAATTGCACATGGATGCAAAGGATAATGCATTGTGCTAACAATGTGGAAATATATTCTCTGGAAGTGTAATAAAAATAGTTACCACTTCACAAGTGTTGCAAAAGCTCATTCAGAATCAAAGAACATGGTGTAAGATTAAAACGGACAGGCGTCCTGAAGATAATTATATTTTCCGCACAACAACTTGATGTTCTCCATTAGTGCAAGAACTAAATTCCACCTCCTTTGGCATTGCAAATCTTGAAAAACAATTCTCTTGGAACTCCTTATAACAATAATTCACAACTTTGCGAGTGTAATTAGCACCTTATTAAGACACCCGGCAGGTTCCGGATCAAGATATAGGTAATCCTCGATTTACAACCACAACTGAGCCCAAAATTTCTGAGCCATGTGTTAAGTGAGTTTTGCCCCATTTTACGACCTTCCTTGCCACTTTTGTTAAGCGAATCACTGCAGTTGTTAAGGCGGAAACACGGCTGCTAAGTCAATCTGGCTTCCCCGTTGACTTAGCTGGTTGGAAGGTCGCAAAAGGAGATCATGTGACCCCGGGACATTGCAACCGTCATAAATACGAGCCAGTTGCCAAGCGTCTGAATTTCAATCATGTGACCATGGGGATGTTGCAACGGTTCACTGGAAGCTTTCGAGAAGAGACTGGACTGCCATCTGTCAAAAATGATGTAGGGCAGTGATGGCTAACCTTTTTGCCGTCGTGTGCCAAAAGCGGGGGGAGCGCAGGGGGGTCGTGCCCACACCCATAATTCAGTGCGCCCTGCCCCCCACGCATGCATGTGCGACATCCCTGCACTCCCCCCGCTTTTGGCACACGATAGCACAGTGGGCCCAGTAGGCCCGTTTTTCACCCTCCCCAGGCTCCAGATGCTTTCTTGGAGCCTGGGGAGAGCAAAAACTGCCTTCCACATCTCCCCGGAGGCTGGAAATGGCCCATTTGCCGACTTCCGGTGGGACTGGAAGGCCCGTTTTTCGCCCTCCCCAGGCTCCAGAGCCTTTCTAGGAACTGGGGAGGGCGAAAACAGCCTTCCCCAGCCCCCTGGAGGCCCTCCGGAGGCCAGAAATAGCCTGTTTCCCGACTTCCAGTGGGCGCGGAAGGCCCAAAAATCAGCTGGCCGGCGCTGAGATACGGCAACACTCGCGTGCCCACTGATATGGCTCCGTGTGCCACCTATGGCACACATGCCATAGGTTCGCCATCACAGGTGTAGGGTCTGCTTGGGCGGGGGGTTGGACTAGATGACCTACAAGGTCCCTTCCAACTTTGTTCATCTGTATCTGTATTTGTGGAGCCTGTATGACCCGATGGTTGTTAAGTGTGAAAAACGGTCGAAAGTCACTTTTTCCCCAGTGGCATTATAACTTCCGACCGTTACTAAATGAACTGTTTATAAGTTGATGTATTCCATTCTCCCCCTGAAGGAAGATCTTGATTAGGCCAATTTGAAGGATATGCAATTTTTTTATATCTCTCAGCTTGACTAACTAATCTTTGGTGCAGGAATGAGTAGATCTTGGGAAAATGTTTGTGATGTATGACACAAGGTGTTGTGGCCCGTATGCGGCCTGTGCAGCTAGTAGCTGATTCCGACAGTGAGGAGACTGGTGTGGTGCTGCGCCAGCAGCCTGTGCAGCTGGCACTCGAGTCGGACAATGAGGAGGCTGGAGAAGATGTGGTGCCAGAGACAGGGATTCAGCCAGGGCCTTCAGAACCTCCAGAAGCTCTCTTAAGTGAAGAAGACGAAGAGGAAGAAGGGGAAGAATGCACGGGTGCGCAGAATTGCCAAAAGGCAGGAGTGGCTCCTCAGGAGGAGGTCTCCTCAAGAGTAAAGCTTGGGGATAATTGGTCACTCCCTTAGCCTATTTAAGGAGGAACGCCAACTGAAGCAATTTGCAGGGAACAACTTTAGTTCGCATATCTTCATGTCTTGTCTTATCTTATCAGCTCCCTGCAAATTGCTTCTGGGCATTCTGCCAACCGCAGTAAGCTTTCAGTATTATTCTTTGAATTCTTGGCGGCTGTTAATGGAGTTAATTAACAGCCCTTGTTGTAAAAAACTGGTTTATTTAGTAAACTAAGGTTTGTACAGACTTTGTGTGTGCTGCGTTCTTTGGGTCCGCAGCTGGGGTAGAACACAAGGCAAGTTGGTCAAAAGTCCCATCTATGCACAACTTTCAATTTGTGATGTCCTTCATGCTCTCTGAGCTTGGTTGTTTTCTTGCAGATGTTTCATGACACAACTAGCTGATGAGGAGATAGAGATATCTGGAAGTTGAATGATGCCAGCTGGACTTCTTTTCTTGTTGGTTTGAAGCATATGCAAGTAGCTGGATAATACAGGTAGTCCTCAACTTACGACCACAACGGAGCCTAAAAGTTATGTTGCTAAGCCAGGCAATCGTTAAGTGAGCTTTGCCCCATTTTTCAACCTTTCTTGCCACCGCTGTTAAGCGAATCACTGCAGTTGTTAAATTAGTCACACGGTTGTTAAGTGAATCTGGCTTTCCCCATTGACTTTTGCTTGTCAGAAGGTCGCAAATGACCCTGGGACACTGCGACCGTCATAAATATGAGCCAGTTGTGCCAAGCATCCCAATTTTGATCAATCAATCAATCAGAATAGAGCTGGAAGGGACCTTGGAGGTCTTCTAGTCCAACCCCCTGCTCAAGCAGGAGGCCCTATACTGTTTCATATGAACCTGTGACCACAGAGATGCTGCGGTGGTTGTAAGGGTGAAAAACGGGGGTAAGTCACCTTTTTCAGTGCCGTTGTAACTTCTAACAATTGAGCCCAAAATTTCTGACCCAAGGAATGGTTGTAAGTCGAGGACTACCTGTGGACTGAAGAAGCTTCTTGGATAAGCAACAAAATGTTTCAAACCAACAAGCAAAGAAGTCCAATTACCCAACTAGGTAAATTCATCAGTGCTAGAAGAAGAGTGGAATTTGCTTTTTCTGGGCTTTTTGTTTCTTGCTGACAGACAGCAGACTCTGTGCTGCCCTTTGGGAGACACAGAGTCTGCTGTCTGTCAGCAAGAAACAAAAAGTCCAGAAACGTGTGCTTCCTTGATTAGGCTGTTAAAGTGCTCTTGGATTGTTTGTCTGTTGGTAGTTTCTTGATTGTAAAAATGGATATTATCTATCAGCTGACTGCCATTGAGAAAAAGAATTTTTTTATTAAAAAAAAAGATTGATTATGTGAAGCAACCATTGATTGAATGTAGAAAACAAACTGGTAGAAGAATCACCAAATGCTTGTTGCAGGGTGAGTGAGTCTGGTTACATTCGTGCTTCAAAAATGAACAAATTGTATTTTTTTTCCTCTAATTCCCATACAGTTCTCTTTCTGCAAAAATAAAATTCCATCTAAAAATGCAGGTAGTCCTCGACTTACGACCACAGTTGAGCCCAACATTTAAGTTGCTAAGCGAGACATTTTTAAGTGAGTTTCGCCCTTTTTTTAAACGACTTTTCTTGCCACCGTTGTTAAGCGAATTGCTTGCAGTTGTTAAGTTAGTCACATGGTTGTTAAGTGAATCTGGCCTCCCCGTTGATTCTTGCTTGTCAGAAGGTCACAAAAGGGGAATTATGTGACCCCGGGACAGAGCAACCGTCATAAATATGAGTCAGTTGCCAAGCCTCTGAATGTAAATCAGGTGACCGTGGGGAATTCTGCAACGGTCGTAACTGTGAAAAATGGTCATAAGTCACATTTTTCAGTGCTGTTGTAACTTCGAATGGTCACTAAACAAACGGTCACTAAACGGGGACTGCAAATCAGTTGAGTGATTTGCAGTAATTTACAGTTAAGTGACCCGCTTAATGACTGCTCTGACTTGTGTACATCTTGCCGTTATTCTGATCCTACTGAATACAAGTAGTCCTCGAGTTATGACTGGTCACTTAACGACTGGACCGAAGTTACAACAGACCTCCTCAGAGCTACTTACAACCTAGTTTCCAATGGTTGCTCACCCAGGGTCACATGATTGCAGTTTGGGCACTCGGAAACTGTCCCAGTGTTATGGCCGTTTGAATCCCGCGGTCACATGATCGTGATTTATGACATTTTTTGCCGGAAACTGGTGTTTACTTCTGGTTTCTATCAAAAAAAACCCTCAACAGGTTATAATGGGCTCGCTTAACAACCAGGTATTCTCTTAATGACGGTGACTTTCCTTTAATGGTTGTGGTATTTACTTAAGAACCAGTGCAAAAAGGATTATAAAATCAGTTGCAGACATACAGTGACCCGCTTAATGACCGCTCTGACTTACGACCATAATTCCGGGTTCAATTTTAGCCCCAAGCTGAGGAGTACCTGTAGTAACTCTGAATGCAGTAATGCATAGAGAAGGCTTAATTAATTGAGTTTTAATTGAAGGAGAAAAACGATGCCATCGTGGGGAGAAAGAACTGATGAAAATTGTCGAATCTCACAGGGTGAGAAACTAGACTGTTGTTTGAAAAACTCTGGACATTTTTTTCTGTTGTAGGCCAGGCATTTTGCTGTCTTCATAGCTTGTGGTCCATAAGAGTGGTGCGGTGGTCTAGAGGTGGAGCTCTCACCTCACAATCAGGAGGCTGTGAGTTCGATCCTAGGTAGAGGCACATATTTCTCTCTCTGGGCACGATGAGAATATATCTGATGAATGTAATTCCGCATTGGTGACGGGAAGGGCATCCGGTCAGTAAACACTCAACTCAGCTCCATTCAGTTGCCCAGACTCCACTCCGCAAGAGATTATGGGGTCATTAAAAAATGATGATGATAGTTTGTGGTCCATAAATTATCAACTCTGCTAACGAAACCAGTGCTATTAGGCAGAAGAAGGACTGCTGATATTGCATTATTTAACTAGAAAATCATTAAGAATTTTTTTTGGGGGTGGGGGGAAATAGGGTTGCATAAGTCAAGGATCTTAAATCAAAATCTGCCTGCGATTCAAATATATATATATAAATCAGTGTGAATGTATAAAAATTTCAGGCCACGTTTTCCTACGGTCATCCAACGCCTTTGTCCCTTCCCAATCCAATACAGATAGTCTTTGACTTACGACCACAATGGAGTGCAAAATTTCCATTGCTAAGCGAGGCAGCTGTTAAGTGAGCGTTGCCCCATTTTTACGACCTTTCTTGCCACAGTCGCTAAGCGAATCACTGCAGTTGATAAGTGAGTAATAACCCGATTGTTAAGTAAAAGCTTTCTTCCCCCATTGATTTTGCTTATCAGAAGGGGATCACAAACGGGATCACATGACCCCAGGATCACATGACCCCGCAATTTAGGACTGTAACTGTCCTAAATTGCGAGCCAGTTGCCAAGCGTCCGAATTTTGATCACATGATCGTTGGGGGGGGGGGAAATGCTATGATGGTCGTAAGTGTGGAAAAAACGGTCATCGCCCCCTTTTTTTCCCAGTGCTGTGGTAACTTTGGTCGCTCAACGAATGGTTGTAAGTCGAGGACTACCCGTACAGGTTGTGAATCGGTCTCGAGAGTCAGCTCCCAGGCAGATTTCGACTTTAAAGGGAAATTGCAAGCCAAAGAATAAGAAGCGAGAGGAATAGGGGGAAAAAAGAAACAGAGTTGAGCGCAAACATACTTGAGGTCAGCAGAGTGGGCAGCCATGAGGTTTCTGAGACTCTTGTCAGCAAGAGGACAACCAGAAAGGCTGAAAAAGAAGAGATGGAATATTTGGGTAAGCTAAAAAAAAAAAAAAAAAAAAAAAGTTGGGAAGATCAAAGCAAGGGGAAGTGGGAATAGAAGAAGGCCCAGCAATTAGAACAACTATATCACCAGTGGACTTCAACTCCCAGAATTCCTGAGCCAGCCATGAATGAATGAATGAATGAATGGCTGGCTCAGGAATTCTGGGAGTTGAAGTCCACCGGTCATAAAATTGCTATAGTTGCCCATCCCTGGAATAGAACCAAAGAATCCACACTTATCATTTATATATATATATATATATATAAAAAGAAAATTAGAAAAGATTTTTTTTTTTTTAAAGAGACGGTCACAATCCGAAAAGAGTAAAGGGTAGGTAAGGTCAACTAACCTGCGGTGAGAAGCATAATTTCCCGTGATGTGTCCGCTGCCATCACAGCCTGGGGTAGGGCAACTGAACGAAAATAATTATGGGGAAAAGAAAACGTGAGTGGCCAAAAAATATAAAGAAACCAGTAAGATTTGTGCATATGTGAAAAAAATAATAATCTAAAAATAGAAAAAAAAGGAGAAGATAATCTCTCTCTCTCTGTTTGTCATAGAAATTCGAGGAAAGGGGGAATTATCAAAGAGTTTTAGGGGTTTTTAGGTGTCCAATCACCTTCTTTGGGGTGCTGAGCAGCATTCTAGAAATATTTTTGGCATCTCGTGAGGAGCAATTTCATATTCTTATTAAGCCACTGCCTCCCCCACCCAGCACTTCACCTCCTAAACTAGGGTTGCCAGATGTCCACTATTTGAGCGGACAATCCGCTTTTTTCACATTATGTTCACTATTTTTTTTCACAAAATAGTGAACATTTTTTTTTTATTCAAAAGCTTTATGATGAAATGGTACGTAATCTAAAGCTGTACAGTCTAAGAGAATAAGGATAGGAGAATCGCGTTTTGTCTTTTTTTTTCGTAAGTTAGAATGAGACAAAGATCGAATATCCATGGAACTCGATTCTCCGAAAAAATTAATGATGAGATTAAAATAAAAATATATTATAAAATTATGCACAGTTCACGTTTTTAAAATGTATTCTAGCTTGTGTCGACTGACCTAAAATGGCGTGTTAAAATGTTTGTAAGACAATATATAATTTAATTGTAATTTTTTAAAATTTTTTTTACTAAACACCCCCCCCCCTCCGCTTGTCCGCTATTTTTTGGAAGCAGACCTGGCAACCCTACTAAAGACTGATCTATACTCCCCATCACAAGACTCTGACCCAGGGGTGAAATGCTCCCAGTTCGGACTGGATCGCCTGATCGGGTAGCGATGGTGGCGGGTGGTTCGGAGAACCGGTAACAAAAATCCCTGCCTCCCCCATGCCCAGCTGAGCCGCGCGATCATCAGAGGCTTTTTATTTACTTTTAAAAGCATTTTTTTCTACAACCTCTTCAGCCGAAAAAAAATGCTTTTAAAAGGCTCTGACGATCCCAGCTGAGTTGCCTGATCTGTCAGAGCCTTTCAAAAGCATTTTTTTTGCAACCTTTTCAGCCGAAGAGGTTATAGAAAAAAATGCTTTTAAAAGGAAAAAAAAGCCTCTGGCGATCAGGCAACTCAGCTGGGATCGTCAGAGCCTTTTAAAAGCATTTTTTTACAACCTCTTCGGCCGAAGAGGTTGTAGAAAAAATGCTTTTAAAAGTTAAAAAAATAATAAATGGTTGGCCATGCCCATGTAGTCACATTACCCCCCCCACACACACACCAAGCCACACCCACAGAACCGGTAGTAACAAATTGTACATTTCCCCAACTGGGAAATTGGGACCCTCAACTGACATGATCTCTACGTCACAAGACCTACTGATCAGATGAAATCCTTATAAACCAGGGCTGTCAAGCAAGATTTTATTGAGGGCTGCATCAGGGTTATATTTGACCTCATGGGGCCGGGATGAACGTGGCCAGCATGATGTCACTCATGTCAGGGGGGCGCCTGTGGTGCAGTAGTGGGATTCAAATCCCGTCGCTACCGGTTTGCTCATGGGCACGTGCGCGCAATGCTTCTGCGTATGTGCAGAAGCTTCTGCACATGCGCAGAAACATCCGGGCAAGTAGGCGGAGCCTCCTGCCACTACCAGTTTGCCCTATCTGGGGGGAACCAAAAGCAACCCACCCTGTGGTGGCCCGAGCGTTCTCCCAGCGAAAACAGGCTCCCGAGCTCCGTTTTCGGCTGCGATGGCCTCCTGCAACCCTCTGCCAGCATAAACAGAGGTCGGGAGGGCAACGCACGCCCCTCGCAGGCTCCGTTTTCAGTTGGGGCGGCCTCCTGCATCCCTCTGCCAATAAAAACGGAGCTCGGGAGGGCAACACGCGGCCCTCCCGAGCTCCGTTTTCGGTTGGGACGGCCTCCTGCAACCCTCTGTCAGTAAAAATGGAGCTGGGGGGGCGGGTGGGCAAGGTGCGGCCCTCCCGAACTCAGTTTTCAGCTGGGACGGCCTCCTACAACCCTCTGCCAGTTGGGGGCAGGGCAACGCATGGCTGTCCCGAGCTCCGTTTTCACTGGCAGAGGCACCGCAGGCTGGTCCTTCCCCATTTCCATGGCGGCCCCGCGGGCGAGATCTAAGCACCCTGCGAGCCGGATCTGGCCCCCGACCTTGAGTTTGACACTCCTGCCTTAAGGGGAGAAATGATCAGTTGGTTGCTGTTTAAAGACAACCCTCCTTCCTCAAAAGATAACCAATTCAATACCTTGATTTTCTATAATGTGCCAGAGAAAATGGTGGTAAGATTATGTAGAAACTGTTCATTGCCCATTCTATGGATAAAATGAGAATATGCCATAGATTAGACCTGAACATTTTATGACCAGATGCAGTCTTTTGGCTGTCCCTATCTGGCCTGTGTGAGGTCCATTGGAAATTAGAAATCAAATGTAAATATTGTATGCTATGCGTGCAATACAACTGCACTGCTTTTACAGATAGTCCTCGACTTACGACCACAATTGAGCCCAAGATTTCTCTTGTTACGTGAGACATTTGTTAAGTGAGTTTCCCACATTTTATGAAGTTTCTTGCCACAGCTGTTAAGTAAATCACTGCAGTTGATAGGCTAGTAAACACGGTTGTTAAGTGAATCTTGCTTCCCCAATGATTATGCTTGTTCAAAGGTTGCAGATGTTTATGACGTGGTTTTGGGACACAACAGTCATTAAGTATGAACCAAAATCTGAATTTTGATCGCTTGAGCACGGGGACGCTGCAAAGGTCGTAAAATGGTTATGTCATTTTTTTTCCCAGTATTGTGGTAACTTTGAATGGTCACTAAATGAACTGAAGTCGAGGACTACTTGTATTTGAAAGGCAACTGCTGGGGTTTTTTTTCCCCCCAATTAATGTACGTGCAAGTTTGCACGTCTATGTATTTTTACAGCCTTATTGGTTTGGTCTTCCATAATAGTCTCACTTTCTCATATGGCCCCTTTGGAAAATGAAGTCCCATTGCCTTGTTATGCCATGACGGCTTGGTTACAGAGAGGCATCAAGCTGGATTTATCATATTAAGTAGTTACTGAGTGGTTAGCAGCCGCCTGTTCTCAGATGGGAAAAAAAAAATCACTTCTTCTATCTATGGGATCCTTGGTGCTCTCTGAGCTTGGCTGTTTTCGTGCAGACGTTTCATTACCCAACTAGGTAACATCATCAGTGCTTTCTTCTAGCTCAGGGGTGTCAAACTCAAGGCCCGGGGACCGGATCTGGCCCGCGGGGTGCTTAAATCTGGCCCGCGGGGCCGCCCTGGAAACAACAAAGGACCGGCCTGTGGTGCCTCTGCCAATAAGAACAGAGCTTGGGAGGGCCACATGAAGCTCTTCCGAGCTCTGTTTTATTTATTTATTTATTATTTATTATTCAAATTTCTATACCGCCCTTCTCCTTTCGGACTCAGGGCGGTGAACAGCCAAAATAAAACATTTAGACATAAAGTACAATTAAAAATAAATTTAAAATAATTAAATTTGGCCCATAGTTTAAAATTTGTCAATTTAAAATCCATATCAAAATTTAAAACCAACCATAAAATCATAAAATCAAGAGAGACCGGCTAACTGAAAGAGATGAGTTTTTAGGGCCCGACGAAAAGTCCGGAGGTCGGAGATCACTCGTATCTCTGAGGGTAGATTGTTCCAAAGGGTAGGTGTCACCACAGAGAAGGCTCTCCTCCTGGGGGTCGCCAGCCGGCATTGTCTAGGCGACGGCACCCTGAGGAGGCCCTCTCTGTGGGAGCGAACTGGCCGGTGGGAGGCTATTGGTGGCAGAAGGCGGTCCCGTAAGTACCCTGGCCCTAAGCCATGTTTTCGCTGGCAGAGGGTTGCAGGAGGCCGTCGCAGCCGAAAACGGAGCTCGGGAGCCTGTTTTTTCTGGCAGAGTGCTCAGGCCGCCACAGGCGACCATGACTCGAGTGATATCGAGCTGGCCACGCCCATATGCTCCCCCTTCCCGAGGTCAAACACAACCCTGATGCAGCCCTCAATAAAATTGAGTTTGACACCCCTGTTTTAGCTCATACATCTGGAGGTGGCAAGACCAACAAAGATGATAAGGGATCTGGTGGCTAAACCATGCAATGAAGGCAACTAGGTATGTTTAGCCTAATGGAGAGAAGGCTTAGGGGTGACATGGTTGTTATCTTCCTCAGGGCTGTCACAAGGAAGAGGGGGTTGACTTATTCACCCAAACACCTGAAGGCAAGAGAAGAAGCAATGGATGGAAACTAATCCAGGAGAGGACCAATCTAGAAGTAAGGAGGAATTTCCTGACCACGAGAACAATTAATCAGTGGAACAGAAGTTGCCTTCAGAAGTTGTGAATGCTTCATCACTAGAGGTCTTCAAGAAAAGATTGTCTGGGATGGTATAAGGCAGGGGTGGGATTCAGCCAGTTTGGACCGGATGTTAACTTTAATCCGGTTCGCCGAACTGGACTGGCTGACCCCGCCCAACCCTCCCCTCCCCTCCCAGGAGTCTCCACACGGCTGATTTTGGATGCCAGGTAAGAGCAGGGTGCGCGCGGAGGCTCTGAGAGGGCGAAAAACGGGCCTACCAGAAGTCTGGAAATGGGCATGTTTTCTGGCCTCCGGTGCCTGGGAGAGGCCATTTTCGCCCTCCTGGAAGCTCCAGGAAAGTCTCTGGAGCCTGGGGAGGGCGAAAAACAGGCCTACCAGAAGAACTGGAAGTGCGGAAACGGCCCCATTTCCGGCCTCCAGAGGGCGCACAAAGCGAACCGGTTGTTATAACTGGTGAATCCCACCACTGGTATAAGGATTCCTGCCTTGGCCAGGAGGTTGCATTAGAAGGCCTCCAAAGTCCCTTCCAGTTCTATGATTCTATGTTTTACCATGTTGCATGAACCATGCCTTCACACTAAGCCATAGTTTATTCATTCATCATAGACAAGGTTATACGAACTCAACTACTGGATTCCGTTAACCTGCCATCTTTTTTTTAGCTCGGCTATGAGATCACTGGTTAAGCAACTGGAAATCTCCTTTAAACCAAGTAAATGTTCCAAAAAAAGATTTGAACATCTTGAGTCTTTTGTACCATAGTTTCTCTCAGGCTGGTCAGTTTTTTAATTTGAAAGGTGAGAATTGTGCCAACTCTTTTACTATTATAGCTAAGCAGCCAAATCCACTAAGAGTTCCCTAGAATATTCGAAGATGAGAGGCCAGGTGAGTCGAGTAGATTTCAAAGGGAAAAAAAAATGGTTTTTAAGAGAATATACAAGCACAGGGAAACATTGCCGATAAAAGTGTTCCTGTAAATATAAGCTCTTATATAAATATTTTCAACATTGTTAGGAGTTAAAACAAAGGAACCTGCTGATGATTTTTACCTTGCCATTTGTAGTACATTTATTTCAATAGGCACATCACATCCCTTGCACACACCTCCCCTTTTCCATTTGGAAAAAAAAAAATCACACCTCTCAATATGAATTTAAAAGACTCAGCCACCCTTGGGGATCTGACAACCACAGTTGCTGGTTCGTCCTTCTGTCTCACAATTTTTCCCACCCCCTCAAACCTTCTACCATCGCAGGGCAAGGAGAAATGCCACTCGCCAAGGATGTTACAAAGAGGGTGTGGGACATTTCGGAAACGGTAGCTTTCAGGGGATGTTGTGAGAGTGTGCAAACAAGGAAGCGAAGCAATCTGTTTAAGCAGAAAAAGTTGTTTTCTGCTCCCATAGCATCCCCAAAGCATTCCGGCACAAATGTAAATAAAATGCATTTATCTCCGCTTCAACCAGACGTTAAGATTGGGGTGGTTTGGATTCACCATTCCCCCCCCCCCGCCACATCCTTAAATCGTGGCAAAGCTTCAAGGAGACCATATGGAGTGGCTCTTCATATCAACAGCTTTTGGGTTAAATAAAAATCCTTCCTCTGTGAAATATGAATGAATCTTGGGTGGGATTTTTAATGCAGAAACATAGACGGCAGAAAAAAGAGATTAGCGATTCATGGAATCGGTCCTTCGAGGGATTTTTTTTTTTGTTTTCTTTTTAATATCAGGGGAGTCCTTGGTGCTTTCTGAGAATGGATTTTTTTCTTGCAAATGCAAGATGTTTTATTACCCAACTAGGCAATATCATCAATGCTAGAAAAGAGTGGGGATTGTGGAGAGGAGGAGGAGGAGGAGAAAGAGGAGGAGGACAAAACTTTGAAGTCCTTGCTTCTCTCTTGAGCTTGGTTGTTTTCTTGCAGGCAGACATTTCATTACCCAACTAGGCAACATCATCAATGCTAGAAGGGAGTGGGGTTTGTAGAGAGAAGGAGGAGGAGGGGGAGGAGGAGGAGGAGGAGGGGATCCTTGGTGCTTTCTTTACTGGGTTGTTTTCTTGTAGACATTTCATTACCCTAACTAGGTAACATCATCAGTGCTCGTCATGTTTGATAGAATTATTTATTATTTTTAAATTTGTTTTATTTATTTATTTTTATTTTATAATTGTTGCCGGATGATAGACATGTGTTTATCCTGTAGGAAGAAATATCCTTCTGGGTTCAGCTCCAAGTGGGGGAAAAAGACACTGGAGACATGGAGACTGCTTGGAAAGATGGTTTAATGGTGGACAGGATCACAGGGCTCGAGTTCCTGAACAGAAAAGGGGATGAGACGCAGTGAGTCCCCGAGTTTTATGCCCTCTCTGGCTTTGAACTTCCTGGGCCCCCGAAAGAGTATCCTGATTGGTTGTCAGACTCCCAAGGGGTGGGGGTCTTAGCTAGCCTTGCTGGCTGATGTAATCTTCCCAGGTGCCATGTGGTGAGTTTCTGTCTAGATGGGTCCCATTGTGTTAGTTTCTGTTGCTATTGTGTTGCAGATGAAGGTCCATTGACAAAGATTGAGTTTCTGCCTCTGGCCCATTAACAAAAGGTGGGGAGGCAGGAAGGTGGGAGCTGCTTTGTCTTTAAAACATGCTTCTCCATTTCTCATCCAGGGAAACATAGTATTCTGCCTTTTTAATATTTCCCAAAATATTTCATTCTTCTAGGAAAGGGGTGGGAGCTAACTTCCTACAATCCCAAGCATGTTTAAACTCAGTTATTAATGACTGACCCACCACCTCCCCTGGAAGCTGGCTCCAAATTTCCACTACTCTTTCTGTGAAATCATGCTTTTTAACATGACGTTTGAACTTTCAATGTCTTAAAGACTCCCGCCCACATTCATCCAGCAAAGTTATCTCTTCTTTCATAGAATTGCATCACAGAAGCCAATGGTGTGGGAAGGATCTCTTGGATGGAGTCCACCCCCTGATAAATACAGGAATCCAAATGAAAGCAAGCTAGAGAGAGATGGGGGGGAGGGGTGTCTTGCAGTAGGTTTATGGTAGATTAGAAGTTGTTTCTGGACCTTCTGTTCGTTGAATACAATAACAGATCGATAATAGAACAGTTACTGTTGAAATCTAGCTTTGTTTTGGGATCACCCCAGCGGTGAAATCATGCCGGATCTATCCGGTTTGCACGAGCCGGTAGGGCCGGCGGCAGGAGGCTCTGCCCACCCGCTGGGACGTCATTATGTCCCAGTTTTGATCCACTGCGTGTGCGCAGAAAAGGCGCGTGTGCTCACATTTCCAAACCAGTAGTGAAGATAAGTGCATTTCACTGCTGGATCACCCGTTAACTGCTTTATACTACAGCAGAGAGATGGTAGGTCAGAAAGGTTGACTGATTATAGATTTTCATATTTGAAATATTTAATGCCGTGTATAGTAATTCAATAAATAGAGATCTAGAGGTTCATATATTGTGGACCTGTTTTGCATGGCTGGGGGAACTATTCCTGTTGAAATATATTTTATCTGTATTTAATCAGAGACATACAATTATGAGTACAGATAGTCCTTGACTTACAACAGTTTGTTTAGTGAACGTTTCGAGTTACAACGGCACGAAAAAAAGTAACCATTATAACCATTTTCTCACGACCGCTGCCACCTCTCCAGGGTGACATGTTCAAAATTCAGACGCTTGGCAACTGATTCATATTTATTACGGTTGAAGCATCCCAGGGTCACGTGATCCCCTTTTGCGACCTTCTGACAAGCAAAGTCAATGGGGAAGCCAGATTCACTTAATAACCAGGTTAACAACTGCAGCGATTCATTTAACAACTGTGGCAGGAAGGGTCATAAAAGGGGGCAAAACTCCCTTGACAAGCCTCTCGCTTAGCAACAGAAATTTTGGGTTCAGTTGTGGATGTAAGTCGAGGACTACCTGTATTTTTGTTATTCTGTTTTTAGGCACATTTTTTCTGGTTTTGTTTTATTGTCTTTTGGTCTTTTCTCCTTTTTACATTTTTGTTCTCTTTTTTGTCTTTTATCTTTCTCTCTCTCTTTTTTTTTTGCATTTTAAATTTGGAAATAAAGTAAAACAAAAATGATAAAGGGAGTTTGTCCCCTCTCGGATCTTTAATGGCACGACTGCTTAGCCAAACGGGCAGACTCACGTGAGTAACTCTTTCTTGATTTCCTTGGAAAGGAACTTCAGCTTGAAGTTGGTTAAGGTGATTTCCCCCGGATATTTTCTTTCTTCGAAGTTTTCCTCTGGGACTTCTTGTTCGTCGGCTTCCGAGGAGGCGAATGAACGGGCGGTGGGCTCCGACTGCAAAAAAGCAAACCCAGAAAATATTCTGGAGGGAGTAGAGGCAACTTTGCAAAACCAGCCACAGCACTATATCTATGGAGATTCTCAGTCATCCAGGTCATGGTTGTCCCAAAGGTGCTTTTTTTCAAGAGACAACTGGGCTTCCTGAGTTTTTTTTAAAGACATTTCGCTTCTCATCCAAGAAGCTTCTTTGGCTCTGACTGGATGGTGGGGAATGGAAGGATTGATACTCCTTGCAGACAGCTGGTCATTTGCATCCTTTTAGAGAGTCGTTGAGGCCACTTGGAGGTTTATCTGTGTCCTCAGGGTCACCTGAATAGTGCAAATGGGTGTGGGTGGAGCAGTAGTGGGATTCAGCTGGTTCGGGCCGGTTCTGGAAAACCAGTTGTTAAATTGCTGGCTGCCCCCCCCCAACCCCTTTCAGGAGTCCCCATGCGCCCCATTTTGGCTCCCAGGTAAGTGCAGGGAGGCCTACTAGAGAGGTGGGTTTCAGCAGGTTCTGACCAGTTCTGGAGAACCGGTAGCGGAAATTTTGAGTAGTTCGGAGAACCGGTAAATACTGCCTCTGACTGGCCCCGCCCATCAGGAGGAAATGGGGATTTTGCAGTAACCTTCCCCTGGGGTGGGGAGGGAATGGAGATTTTACAGTATCCTTCCCCTGCCACGCCCACCAAGCCATGCCCACCAAGCCATGCCCACAGAACTGGTAGTAATTTTTTTTTAATCCTACTACTAGGCCCAAAATGGGGAGCGGGAGGGTGCAGTGCGCCCCCCTCATGGCCCATTTTTGCTTCCAGGAGGCTGCAGGGATGCCTACTAGGCCCAAAACGGGGCATGGGGGGACGTGCCCTCCCGTGGCCCATTTTTGCTCCCAGGGGGATGCAGGAGGCGGAGTGCTGCCTGTCATACCCTCTGGCCCCGCCCACCATGGCCACGCCCACCCAGCCGGTCATTAGGGCAGAGAACCGGTTGTTAAATTATTTGAATCCCACCGCTGGTGTGGAGCCTTCTTGGAACTGTTGAAAGGACTGTGTTGTAAACTGGAGACGGAAGATGTCTGTTGAGAGAGACGTACGTGCACACTTCAAAGCCAAGAATACACTAAGGCAGAAGCTTGTCTACCCCGAGGATAAAACACCCGGACACAAACTGAGCAACGGGGTATATGCAGTACAGTGCACTGAGCCATATCCAGATCTGTACATTGGGGAAACAAAACTACCACTTGAGCTGAAGAAGCTTTCTTGGATGAGAAGCGAAACGTCTTCAAAGAAAAACCAGAATGTCCAGTTGCCTCTTGAAAAAGCCACAGCACTTTCGATCAAAGTGTAGAGAATTTCACATGATGGACTTAAAACATGAAAGCAAAAGAGAAAAGTCAGCAGAGTAGATCCTGGCTTATAAAGGCAGTGAGGAGGTTTACCCTGAGTACCAGACGACAGTAGATAAAGTTATACTCATTGAAGGATAAAGTTACTGAAGTACAGAAGAAGGGAGCAAAGTTAATAAATATATACTGTATATAAAATATCTTTTCTGTCTAACAAAAGTTACTGGGTACATTCTCGATGCCTTCCCTTCAATGCTTTATCTGATAGGACCTTGGAGATGCACCACCTATGATTCCAGGGGGCCCTAATTTTAATCTTCTAGAAGATTTGGGTTTGTCTACAGTAGCAAGAAATCAAGAGCGGTTTGGTAAGAGCCAATCTGGTCTAATGGTTAAGGGGTTGGCCTAGGAACCAGGAGAGTGTGAGTTCTAGCCCTGCCTTAGGCATGTAAGCCAGCTGGGGTAACTATGGGCTAATCACAGTGAGTTCTAGTCTTGCCTTAGGCATGAAAGTCAGCTGGGTGACTTTGGGTCTATCATCAGGAGACTGTGAATTCTAGTCCTGCCTTGGGCATGAAAGCCAGCTGGGTGACTTTGGACCAGTCCCCCCTCCCTCAGCCCAACCCACCTCACAGAGTTATTGTTTTGGGGAAAATAGGAGGAGGAAGGAGTATTAAGTGTGTCCGCCATCTTCGGTTAGTTATAAAGGTGGAATAAAAAACAAATAAATTTTAAAAAATTCATTTCTTTCTAACAAATGCTACTGGGTACATTCCAGGTCTTTTCCCTTTAATGCTTTATCTGATGCGACCTTGGAGAATGCGCCACCTGTGATTCCACGGGGCCCTAATTTTAAATCTTCTAGAAGTCCATGAAGATTTGGATTCTTGTCAAATTTGAGTTGAATGAGGGGTCTCAGTGAGGAGGGTCAATGATATGGGTGGTCTGGTTCCTGATGTGTGTCTGTCCTACTTCAATCTTGTCATTTTCATTGGCTGCTCTATCTAGGACAGTAATGGCTAGCCTTTTTGCCATCGCGTGCCAGGAGTGGGGGGAGTCGCGCGCACGCATGCTCACATCCATAATTCTATGCGCCCCATCCCCGCGCATGCGAGTGTGACTCCCCCGCTCTCCCCCATTCCCTCCCCTTGCTCCTGGCACGCGATGGCATGGTGGGCCTGTTTTTCTCTCTCCCCAGGTTCCAGTCCCTTTCTAGGAGCTTGAGGAGGGTGAAAACAGCCTTCCCAACCTCCCGGGAGGCCCTCCAGAGGCCGGAAATGGCTCGTTTGCCAACTTCTGGTGGGACCGGAAGGCCTGTTTTTTGCTCTCCCCGCCTCCAGAGCCTTTCTAGGAGCTTAGGGAGGGCGAAAACGGACTTCCCCACCCACCCAGAGGCCCTCCAGAGGCCGGAAATGGCCCATTTGCTGACTTCCGGTAGAACAGAGCTGAGCTCCCGTGCCCAACGATATGGTTATGTGTGCCACCTGTGGCACATGTGCCATAGGTTCACCATCACGGGTCTAGGATCTTATGGGAGATACTTGGCTGTGTAAATTAATTAATTTTTAAAATTAATTATATTTTCAGACTTGCAAGATTCTACTAATGTAGCTTTACAGTAAAGTAGAATTACTTTATCAGATTGAGTTCCTGCCTGGTCTATCTGTTAAGATCATATCAGACGTCTTTCCTTTGCCTGGACTTAATATCTTTCAACATAAGCAGTGGTGGGATTCAGCCAGTTCGCACCTATTCGGGAGAACCGGTTGTTAACTTTCTAAGCAGTTCGGAGAACTGGTTGTTGGAAGAAATCTTATTTTGTTTTTTTCCACTTTACAGGGCTAATCCTGTAAGGAAGGCAGGAAGGAAACATTCTGGTGTTATTTCTAGCCTAATCTTTATTGCCCTGTTTACAGAAACTGCCTCTCCGCTTAACCCTTATTACATTGTAACAGCTAAGTCATTACAACGTGAATGATGTTAAGTTGACCATGCCCACACGGTCACATGACCACCGAGCCACGCCTACCCAGTGGTCATTAGGACCGAGAACCGGTTGTTAAATTATTTGAATCCCACCACTGAATGTAAGTGCTTAAACACCTGGTAACTACAATTCATTTAATACAGAAATATACAGAACAAATGATTTTTCCTCCCCCACCCCAAAGTATTTTATCAGAAGATGCAAAAACTACATTATGAAATGCACGTATCAGTTGGGTACAGCGTTACTTATGCAATATAAATTAGAAATTGTGGGCGCTAAGATGATTTAAACCTTCAAAGACAAAAGTGTATATCGGTGTTAAATATAATTTCTGAAACGTTAATAAATGTAACGTTGTACGTTGGAGTGTACAATTAAAGCTAAGCATGGTATTGATCGGCAATTGCAAAAGCACATTCAGTGATTTTATGATATTAAAGAAAGGTTTCTATCTTGAGTGCAATGCTTAAAGGTCTCCTCTGAATTGCTGTACATTATTGCTTATCAATGTTAAATGACCTTTTCTTCCAATGGATAGAAAAGCCTTATTCTCTGAAAAAAACTGCTTGCATTTTCAGGAATACAAGTGAACATGACGCAAATGTCAAATACTTATAATATATATTAGCTTGTATGTTGTGTCCTTGGGTTGCGGCACAGGTGGGTTTCAGCAGGTTCTGACCAGTTCTGGAGAACCGGTAATGGCAATTTTGAGTTGTTCGGAGAACCGGTAAATGCCACCGCTGACAGGCCCCGGTCCCATCTATTCTCTGCCTCCCGAGTCCCAGCTGATCGGGAGGAAATGGGGATTTTGCAGTAATCTTCCCCTGGAGTGGGGAGGGAATGGAGATTTTACAGTATCCTTCCCCTGGAGAGGGGTGGGAATCAGGGGTGGGTTCTAAATTTTTTTATTACCGGTTCTGTGGGCGTGGCTTATTTTGTGGGCATGGCTTGGAGGTCATGTGACTAGGTGGGCGTGGCTAGCTGGCCAGAGTCATTTCTGGAAGGTCCTCGCACTTACGACCAGTCCTCGCACTTACGACCCGACTCATTTGTTTGCTTTTAACACTGATCAGCTGTAGGGCGGCCCTTTGAAGCCCCGGGGCAAGAGTTTAAGCAGTTTTTTTCCCTCTAGTCATCAGCTGGGACTCAGGAGGCAGCAATAGATTGGGGGTGGGACCAAATAAAAGGTAAGAATAACATGGGGGGTTGGGGTGGTGGTGGTGGGGAGAACCGGTTCGGTGACGTCATATCGTCACCGCTACCGGCTCGGCCGAACTGGACCAAACCGGGAGGAACCCACCACTGGTGGGAATGGAGATTTTACAGTATCCTTCCCCTGCCATGCCCACCAAGCCATGCCCACCAAGCCATACTTACAGAAACGGTAGTAAAAAAATTTGAAACCCACCAGTGGGTTGCGGTACTGGCATAATTAGTATAAATCCGAGCAGATAGTACTTGGCTAATCTTGAGAAAGTTAAGCAGGATGAGAATTTGCAAGGAAATCCCAAGCAAATCCGGGAAGAAAAATATTCCAGAAGATAGCAAAGTACTCTGAGATGTCCATTACATAATCTGGAACTGAGTCAACACCTGGCTTTCCTGTGTACAGATAGTCCTTGACTTACAACCATTCATTTAATGTCTATGGAGATTCTCCGTCATCCAGGTCACGGCTGTCCCAAAGGTGCTTTTTTCAAGAGGCAACCGGACTTTCTGGTTTTTCTTTGAAGACGTTTCGCTTCTCCTCCAAAGAAGCTTCTTCAGCTCTGGACGGAAGAAGCTTCTTGGATGAGAAGCGAAATGTCTTCACAATGAAAAACCAGAAAGTCCAGATGCCTCTTGAAAAAAGCACCTTTGGGACAACCATTAGTTTAGTTACCTATCTCAGCCTAAGGCACCTCACAGGGTTGTTGTTACGGGGAAAATAGCAGGAAGAAGGAGTGTTAGACATGTTCGCTGCCTTGAGTTATCGGTAAAAATAATACAGGCGGGGTATAATTAATTAAATGCATCTGTTCTCAACTTTAATTCTGTGTTTACATAATCTGTGCCATCTGATTACAAGGAATTGCAATAGCAATAGCACTTAGATTTGCATCCATTTCTGGATTGGGACGCCGTGTGAACAGTCACTCACGCCCTCGTCACTTCCCGTTTGGACTATTGCAATGCTCTCTATATGGGGCTCCCCTTGAGGAGCACCCGTAGGCTCCAACTGGTCCAGAATGCAGCCGCGCGAGTAATAATGGGGGCGACTCATCGTTCCCATGTAACACCCCTCTTGCGTGAGCTGCACTGGCTCCCGGTGGTCTTCTGGGTGTATTTCAAGGTGTTGGTTACCACCTTTAAAGCGCTCCATGGCTTAGGACCTGGTTATCTACAGGACTGCATTCTGCCACCGATTGCCTCCCACCGACCAGTACGCTCTCATAGAGAGGGCCTCCTCAGGGTGCCGTCGGCCAAACAATGTAGGCTGGCGACCCCCAGGGGGAGAGCCTTCTATGTGGGGGCCCCGGCCCTATGGAATGAATTGCCCCCAGACATACGAAGGATCCCCGACCTCCGCGCCTTCCGTCGTGCTCTGAAGACCCTATTATTCCAGCAAGCCGGTCTGACGGGATAAAGGATTTTAATTGGGTTTGATAGGGGTTTTAAATAACGATTTTAGCTGGGTGTTTTAAATTTGGCCTGTGATTGAATTATTTTAATAAGTTTTTAAATTTTTTGTCTTGTATACTGTTTTTACCATGGCTGTTCACCGCCCTGAGTCCTTCGGGAGAAGGGCGGTATATAAATATAATAAAAGTAAAAGTAAAGTAGACTTATATACCGCTTCACAGAGCTTTTACAGCCCTCTCTAAATGGTTTTACAGAGTCAGCCTATTGCCCCCAACCATCTGGATCCTCATTTTACCCACCTTGGAAGGATGGAAGGCTGAGTTAACCTTGAGCAGCTCAGAATCGAACTCCTGGAGTGAGCAGCGAGTTAGCCTGCAGTACTGCATTCTAACCACTGCGCCACCACGAACAGACTCATTTTTGAGAGTTACCTGTAATCATGGATGGTGCTTCTTGTCTGGACCAACTCAAAGGGCTGACGAATGAAGGCGAATCTACGTGTCCCAGGATAATGTTGTAGGTTCCAATATGGGTCGGTCACCAGGAACAGAGATTTTGTCTTCCGAGCTTTCAGACTCATGTTGGAGCCCATCTTCAGGGAATTTCTCTCTAGCTACCCATGTTTCCCCGAAAATAAGACCAGGTCTTATATAATTTTTTGCTCCAAAAGATGCATTAGGGATTATTTTCTGGTTAGGTCTTATTTTTGGGGAAACACGATTCTAAATCGTGGAACGAGCTCCCCCCGGAGATACGGAGGATCCCGGATCTGCGCACCTTCCGTCACGTGCTTAAGACTTTTTTATTTCATCAAGCTGGCCTGGCCTAAATCTTCTCCCCTTTTAAAATGTAAATTATAATTTGTTTTTAAATTATAGGGTATTTTAAATTGTTCAGCCAAATTATTTAATTCGTTTTTATTCTATTTATAAACTTTTGTATTTATGTGTTTTATCCTGTGGCTGTTCACCGCCCTGAGTCCTTCGGGAGTAGGGCAGTATAGAAAATAAATAAATAAATAAATAAATAAATAAATAAATAAATAAATAAATAAATAAATAAATAAATAAATAAATAAATAAATGTGTCCGTCTGGCTGACGATCTTAACTGGGGCTTATTTTTGAGGTAGGGCTTATATTACGAGCATCCTGAAAAATCATGCTAGGGCTTATTTTCTAGTTGGGTCTTATTTTCGGAGAAACAGAGTAGAGAGAAGTTCCCTGAAGGTGGGGGCTCCAGCACGAGTCCAAAAGCTCGGAAGACAAAATCTCTGGTCCTGGTGACCGACCCAGATTGGATCCTATGCCAAAGGGCTGGCATCAACCTTGGTAGTCTGAAAGTATATTCCCCCTCCTCCACCCCTCACCTTTACGGTCCAAGAAACTAGGGAAGGTCCCTTTTCCCTTTTGAGATGCTTTTTCCACTTCTTACCCCTGTCTCACATCCCTGCAGCCCATGACACTCAGGGTTCGGTGCCGAATCTTCTGCCCACCCTAAGAAACGAAGCAACGTCAGAGTAGCCTTGCAACTCCTCCTCTTTACCTCCTCCAGTTCCTCTTCTCGTTGCCGATTTGGTTTGGTGTAGTCGATGGGCCCGTCCCACTCATCCTGGCGAGAGGTGTGGCTGGACTGGGGTGAGGTCATGGTGCTGCTCGTGGCACTGGTGCAGTTTTGGCGTTGGGACACGTCGGGGTATTTGATGCTGGGGCTACTGCTGCAGCTGCTGCTGCTGGGGAAGGCGCCGTCACGTTTGCGGTGCTTGTTCATGCTTAAGTCCAGAGTCCCGTTTTCATCCACTTCGATGTCCATGGGCTGAAATGTGGAAACCGCAAGAACAAATTTATAACACTTTTGGTAAGACGTCTGTGATTCTGAGTGAGGATGTGAGAAACAACTTGGCTAAAAGGAAATACATGAGTCATCTTTCCAATAAAAGGAGAATATTTGTAGCTCAGGGTTGAGATGAGGGATCTTTGATGCTCTCTGAGCTTGGTGGTTTTCCTGCCGATGGTTCATTACCCAACTAGCTAACCTCATCAGTGCTAGAAGGGAATGAGATTTGTGGAGAAGAGGAAGAGGAAAAGGAAGAAGGGGAGGAGGAGGAGGAGAACTGTGGGTTCCTTGGTGCTCTCTGAGCTTGGCGGTTTTCTTGTAGATGTTTCATTATCAAACTAGGTAACCTCATCGGTGCTAAAAGGACCTTATATATAAATAGAGAGCAAACCTCATTCCTTTTAGCATTGATGATGTTATTTAGTTTGGTAACGAAGCGTCTGTAAGAAAACAGTCAAACTCAGAGAGCACCAAGGGCCCCTCATATTCATCTATTAAAGACAAACATAGGAAGGAATGATCCAATCCAATCCAATCCCAGTATTTTATTATGATCGTAGAATAGAATATGAAGAAAGTATCATTTGGAATTATTTTCTGAGCCAATTAGGAATTGAGGCTGTAGATACTGTTTGTGTTCAAATTCTTTTTTTCTTTCTTTCTGGAGTAGAACCCATTTATAAACATGTAGTGTAAAGTATAAAGGGAGAATGTATATAGCAAAATGAGAGAGATATTAGAAATATGCTTTTTGGAAACAATGAATGATTCTAAGTCCAGAGTCCCGTTTTAATCCACTTCGATGCCCATGGACTGAAATGTGGAAACTGCAAGAACAATTTATTTATTTATTTATTTTAAATTTGATTTATATGCCACCCTTCTCCGGAGACTCAGGGCGGCTTACAGTGCGTTAAGCAATAGCCTTCATACTTTTGTATATTTTATACAAAGTCAGCTTATTGCCCCCATAAACTGGGTCCTCAATTTATCTACCTTAGAAAGGATGGAAGGCTGAGTCAACCTTGAGCCTTGGCAAGATTCGAACTTACTTTAATTGCAGGCAGCTGGTGTTAAATTGCAGTGCCTTGTCTGCAGAGCTATCCAGGCTCCTATAAATTTATAATTGCTTCTTTCAAATCTGCAACTCCAACTACCTGTTTCCTTGACACCATCCTGCTGGGGTGGACCTAACTGTCTTACATTGGAGTATCTGTGGAGCCCTTAATACTCTCTGAGTTTGGTTGTTTTCTTGCAGATCTTTCATTACCAAACTAGGTAATGCACAGCATGGTGGGGAGAGAAAGGAAGAAACAAGGCCAAGTACATGGCACATCCTGCCATGCAGTGGTGGGTTTCAAAAATTTTCGCTACTGGTTTGGTGGGCGTGGCAAGGTGGGAGGGAACATGTGACTGAGTAGGCGTGACCGACTTGACGTCACTCATGCCCATGCCCACTCAGTCACATGATGCCCCATGTATGCCACATGGCGGCATACAAATTAAATAAACAAAGAAACAAATACATAAGTACAGGTAGTCCTCGACGTACGACCACAATCGAGCCCAGAATTTCTTTCGCTAAATGGGACATTTGTTAAGCGAATTTTGCCTCATTTTGCAACCTTTTTTGCCACAGTTATTAAGTGGGTCACTGTCGTCGTTAAGTTAGGGACATGGTGGTTAAGTGAATCTGGCTTCCTCATTGACTTTGCTTTTTTTATTTATTTTTTTATTTTTAACATTTTATATTTTAAATTACTAACATTACAAACAACATATACAATATTTCACCCTGTGCTATACATAAGAAAGGAAGATTTGGTTCTTCGGATATATCCTCATGATCGCCAAAATCCACGTTCTCGGGGTACAGGTACCGAAGCATCCAATTTTCCCAGCGCATAGTCCACGAATGGTTTCCAAATTTTCCAGAAAATATCTTCTTTATAGTCACCATTTCTAATTTTAATATCACATGTCATTTTATCATTTAAAGCTAATTTCCACATTTCACAATACCATTCTTCTATTCTAAAATTTACATCTAATTTCCAATATCTGGCTATTATAATTCTACCCATTATAATCATAATTCTAATCAATTCTTTCTCATATTTTGTTGGTTCTATTTCCTTAATTATCAACAGTAATATAGTTTCTGGTCTCAATATTATTGCTTTCCCCATCATTTCAAATATAATTTCCTCCAATTGTTGCCAACTTTGCTCGTCAGAAGGTTGCAAAAGGGGATCGGATGACCCCGGGACAGTGCAACCATCATAAATACGAGTCAAAAATCATCTGACTTTCGATCGCTGCAATGGTTGTGCGGAAAATTGTCGTAGATTCCCCCCCCCCCCCTTTTTCAGTTATAACTTCGAACGGCCACTAAATCAGTGTTTCTCAACCTTGGCCGCTGGACGATGTGTGGACTTCAACTCCCAGAATTCCCCAGCCAGCAGAACTCCCAGAATTCCCCAGCCACATCGTCCAGCGGCCAAGGTTGAGAAACACTGCACTAAATGAACTGTTGTAAGTCGAGGACTACCTGTCATCGCTCCATGGGGCCGCTCCCACTTTTGTCTGCTCACCTTGCTGGAGAGATCTTGCTGCTTGGTGCTGAGGTTTTCAGGCATTTCCCAACAGCGGGTGGAGAGGTTCAAAATGGCCGTGGCGGCCATGTGGGCGGCTTCGGCGTCGTGGGAGTAGTCGAAGCCTGTGGACGAAGACGAAGTGTTCTTCACGTAACTGCTGGAAGGGCTGTGGCTGGGGGAAGTGGAAACCTTTGGAAAAGGTTTGCCTGCAAAAAGGGAGTAAGAGAGGCATGGATGGGGTTGGGGTTCAGCCATTTATATTCATTTCTCGCTCCCTCGTCTTTCCTGCAGGAATTCCACACAGCGTGTTAAAAGCGCCTTCCTCTATTTTTCCAACCACAGGAAGCCGGTTTGGTTTAATGGCTAAGGCGCCAGGATAGAAAGTGGGAGACCGTGAGTTCTAGTCCCGCCTTAGGCAAGAAAGTCGGCTGGGTGACTTTGGGCCAATCACCAGGGGATTGTGAGTTCTAGTCCCGCCTTAGACAAGAAAGATGATTGGGTGACTTTGGACCAATCACCAGGGAACTGTGAGTTCTAGTCCTGCCTTAGACAAGAAAGTCAGCTAGGTGACTTTGGGCCAATCTTCAGGGGATTGTGAGTTCTAGTCCCACCTTAGACAAGAAAGATGATTGGGTGACTTTGGGTCAATCACCAGGGGATTGCGAGTTCTAATCCCGCTTTAGACAAGAAAGCCGATTGGGTGACTTTGGGCCAATCATCAGAGGATTGTGAATTCTAGTCCTGCCTTAGACAAGAAAGCCAACTGGGTGACTTTGGGCCAATCACCAGGACAACTGTTATTTCTAGTCCCGCCTTAGACAAGAAAATCCGCTGGTCTATATTGGTTTAATTGACTGGACCATAAATAAATAACCCCTTCCCCCATAAATTCATTCCCCCAATGACCGTCCATATCCAGACCCAACTTACATTTAAAGGCTTTAGGTGAGGTTTCGCTAGACTGAATCTTTGGGGCAAGCATGCGTTTGCCAAAAACCTGAGCGTCGAAACTTGCATAATCGAAGGTGACTTTGGAGTACTTCTCCAGCTCCTTGGCCAAGTTGGCCCTTGGCGTGGAAGGAACCATGTTGGGCCTGTAACTTCCATACTGAGGCACCTCGAGTTGCTTCACAAAACACATAGGCCTGAAGGGAAGAGAAAGGGAAGGAGGTCATTTTTGTAAGATTGTTTGTGATTCTGGGCGAACACGTGAGAAACAACTTGGCTAAAAGGAAATACACGAGTCCTCTTTCCGATGTGAATATTTGTAGCTCAGGGTTGAAATGAGGGGTCCTTGGTGCTCTCTGAGCTTGGTGGTTTTCTTGCAGTTGCTTCATTATCCAACTACGTAATATCATCAGAGCTAGAAGGGAGTGAGATTTGCGGAGAAGAGGAGGAGGAAAAGGAGGAGGGGGAGGAGGAAGAGGACCGTGGGTTCCTTCGTGCTGCTCTCTGAGCTTGGCTGGTTTTTTTTTTTTTGCAGACGTTTCATTACCAAACTAGGTAAAATCATCGGTGCTAAAAGGACATTATACCATATTTTTCGGAGTATAAGACACATTCCCCCCCGCCAAAGATGGTGAAAATTTGGATGCGTCTTATACATGAATGTAGCCCCGCCCACCTGCTGGCCCCCACCCTTTGGCCTCTGCCTCCCAGCAATTTACCTCCTTGCAGCAAGCAGCAAACAGCCCGTTTCAGCTTCAGCACAGCCTGATTAGCACAAGCAGTTGATTGTCGGTTGGATCGGCCACCCGACCCTCAGCTGTTTCAGGCTGCAGGGATTGCCATTGCCTACTGCCACGCGGGCCTCTGCTGTTTGCTGCAAGGAGGCAAATTGCTGGCAGGCAGATTTTTTTTTTCTTGTGCTAATCAGGCTGTTCTGAAAATGAAAATGAAACTAAAGCAGGCTGTTTGCTGCAATGAGGCAAATTGCTGGCAGGCAGATTTTTTTTTCTTGTGTTAATCAGGCTGTTCTGAAAATGAAAATGAAATTAAAGCAGGCTGTTTGCTGCACGGAGGCAAATTGATGGCAGGCAGTTTTTTTTTTTCTTGTGCTAATCAGGCTGTTCTGAAAATGAAAATGAAATTAAAGCAGGCTGTTTGCTGCACGGAGGCAAATTGATGGCAGGCAGTTTTTTTTTTTCTTGTGCTAATCAGGCTGTTCTGAAAATGAAAATGAAACTAAAGAAGGCTGTTTGCTGCAGTGAGGCAAATTGCTGGGAGGCAGAGGCAGATTTTTTCTTTTTCTTGTTTTCCTCCCAAAAAAGATAAGTGTGTCTTATAGTCCGGAGTGTCTTAAACTCCGAAAAATACAGTATATAAACAGAGAGCAAACCTCATTCCTTTTAGCATTGATGTTATCTAGTTTGGTAATGAAGCGTCTGTAAGAAAACAGTCAGACTCAGAGAGCACCAAGGGCCCCTCATATTCACCTATTAAAGACAAACACAGGAAGGATCCAATCCAATCCAATCCCAGTATTTTATTATGATTGTAGAATAGAATATGAAGAAAGAATCATTTGGAATTATTTTCTGAGCAAATTAGGAATTTAGGCTGTAGATAGTGTTCGTGTTGAAATTCTTTTTTTCTTTAGAGTAGAACCCATTTATAAATACGTAGTGTAAAAGTAGAAAGGGAGAGTGTATATAGCAAAATGGAAGAAATATTAGAAATATGCTTTTAGGAAACAATGATTCTAAGTGTTATGAGTTTTCATATCAGAAAAAGTATAATGTCTTAAGAGAGTGATAGTAAAATCCTATACTACTTTCAAGCTTATTTTCTTAGAATTGGTCCTAAAACTGGATGTAAAGTTTATTAGTACAGAAATTGTAATTGGAGCATAGAAGGAAGCAGGGGGCTTTAGGAAGACAACATGATGGCAATTCAAGTTTTTGATGAAGTTTTCTTGTTTTCCTTATTTTCGTATCTTGGCTTTAAATCAACATTTATTTTATTTTATTTTATTAAATTTATATACCGCCCTACTCCCGAAGGATTCAGGGCGGTGAAGAGCCAAAAAATAAAACACATAGATTACAAAATTTAAAAGAACAATATAAAACCACATTAAATAAATTTGGCCCGGAACAAATTAAAACACCCCCAATACTTAAGACAGATTTAAAATTTACAGTTTAAAAAGTTAAAAAGGAGAAGTTAGGCCAGGCCGGCCTGTTGAAATAAGAAAGTCTTGAGGGCATGGCGGAAGGTGTGTAGATCCGGGATCCTCCGTATCTCCGGGGGGAGCTCATTCCAAATAGTAGGTGCCCCCACAGAGAAGGGTCTCCCCCTGGGGGCTGCCAGTCGACACTGTTTGGCCAACGGCATCCGGAGGAGCCCCTCTCTATGAGAGCGTACTGGCCGGTGAGAGGCTACTGGTGGCAGCAGGCGGTCCCGTAAATATCCAGGTCCTAAGCCATGGAGCGCTTTAAAGGTGGTAACCAGAACCTTGAAGCACACCCAGAAGACCACCGGGAGCCAGTGCAGCTCGCGCAGGAGAGGTGTTACATCGCTCCCATAACCACCCGCGCGGCTGCACTCTGCACCAGTTGGAGCCTCCAGGTGCCCCTCAAGGGGAGCCCCATGTAGAAAGCATTACAGTAGTCCACGCGGGAAGTGACGAGGGCATGAGTGACCGTGCGTAAGGAGTCCCGATCTAGAAAGGGACGCAACTGGCGGATCAGGCGAACCTGATGAAAAACATAATCTATATATGGGGTATGGGAATTTATAATTTCCCCCCACAAAGTTTTGCTATAGTCCAGGTGTTACTGTGCTTAGTAGTGCGATTTTATACTATGTCATATGGTTGTGTAATAATCCAAATTCAGAAGGGGGAATATGCTCTGGGGTGAAGGCTCACTTTCTGTTTGCCAGCAAATGTTTAAAAGATTTGGGGGAAGGCAAGAAGAAGCACAATTGATGTGAGGTATTGAGAGGTCTGAAATGTATGCCCACACAAGCTACGAATTCCTCCTTCCCTTTCAAATCCAGATTGTTGTACAGCTTCAAGAGCGGTAATTGAAGATTTGAAATATTTTTCGGCCTGTTTTTCAGCCCTTTTTGGGCGATTTTTGGTCATTTTCAGGCTGATTTATGGGGCATTTTCCGGGGCATTTTTTAGGCAGTTTTGGGCCATTTTTCAGTCCGTTTTTTGGCCATTTTCAGGCCATTTTTTGGGCCGTTTTCTAGGCCATTTTAGAAGTTCAGTAGTAGTAAATAAATAGAGAGGGTAATTGTACCTTATTGAGGCCTTTGACTCAATTTCCCTCTTTATTTATTTACTACTAACTGAACATCCAAAAGGGCCTGAAAAATGGGCTGAAAATGGCCAAAAAATGGCCCGAAAAACAGCCTGAAAACGACTGAAAAAAACAGCCGGAAATGGGCTAAAAAATGGGCGGGGCAGGACCAGCCAGTGGTGGGATTAGCCGGTTCACCGAACTGGACAGAATTTTAACAACTGCTCCGAACCGGCTGAAGCTCATCTCTGCTACAGACTTAATTCAACAGGATGAAAGAGTTTATACTCGTTCACAAACAGTTCAGGCATTATTAGACCTCATGACTTTGTCTGTCTTGGGAAAGTTTGATTTGATTTGTTCTGATTTATTTCTGGCTCTGTGCTTTTGATCTGAAGGAGTGACAAAGTTGGACGTTTCCACTTATTCCACTTATTATTCCAGCTTTAATATATTCGAATAACAGAAGATAACAGAATAATATGGTTGGAAGGGACCTTGGAGGTCTTCTAGCCCAACCCACTGCTCAAACAGGTCACCCTATACCATTCTGTCCAGTCTCTTCTTAAAAGCCTGAAGTGCTGGAGCATTCACAACTTCTGGAAGGAAACCGTTCCACTGATTAATTGTTCTCACTGTTAGGAAATTTCTCCTTAGTTCTAGGTTGCTTCTCTCCTTGATTAGTTTCCACCCATTGCTTCTTGTCCTGCCCTCAGGTGCTTTGGAGAATAGCTTGACCCCCTCTTCTCTGTGACAGCCCCTCAAGTACTGGAAGACAAGAGCCAAGGTGGCGCAGTGGTTAGAGTGCTGTACTGCAGCTACTTCAGCTGACTGCTAGTTCAGCAGATCAGCAGATCAAATCTTACCGGCTCAAGGTTGACTCAGCCTTCCATCCTTCCGAGGTGGGTAAAATGAGGACCCAGATTGTTGGGGGCAATATGCTATTTAGTATACTGTCGATTGTTGTAAGCCGCCCAGAGTCCTCGGAGAGTGGGTGGCGTAGAAATATGAATAATAAATAAATAAATAAATAAATAAAGACTTCTATTGTGTCACTCATAGTCCTTCTCTTTGTCAGACTAGAGCTACCTAATTCCCTTAATTGTTAATCATATGGTTTAGCCTGAGATGCAGAGATCTTAATCAATGGTACTATGGTTCTAAGTAAAGGGATTTCTGGAATTAAAACCTTGTACCTCCTTTGCAATCCAGCCCTTTAGCAGCTACAATAGGTGGCACATGAATGAAGTCTCTAATCAGCCCATCATTTGAAGCGCAGAGAGCAAGTTTATTAACTCATCGGCTAATTAATTAGCGCCCACGTCCATTCCACCCAGCTGTGAAACCGAGAGGCATGGAGAAATGTTAACACGCCACACAAAATGAAAAATGGGATGGGGGCTCTCTGTCCTTTCCATCTTCATAATGTCAACATAATCAATGTGATTTTGGAGCCATCTGCACTGCTGTGTACACAGTAAGACGTGGCTTGGGACTCTGTTAAAAACCCTTTTTGCCTGTCAATTTAGAATTAATGGATGCTACAGAAGACATTCCTGCTCCAGCGTGCCCTGATTGGGAATATTACATTTTTTTTTTTTATCGTTCAAAGAAAAATATTTGACAGTCACAGATGGATTAGTGGGAAAGATGGGTCCTGCCATTTCCCTTAACCAGTTGTAGCCAACCTTGGCCATTTTAAGACCTGTGGACTTCAACTCCCAGAATTCCCCAGCCAACCTTAGCAACTTTAAGCCTGGTGGACTTCAACTCCCAGAATTCCCCAGCCAGTGTGCACAGAATTCTGGGAGTTGAAGTCCACAGGTCTTAAAGTGGCCAAGACATGCCCTAAGCCAGGGGTCTCCAACCTTGGCAACTTTAAGCCTGGTGGACTTCAACTCCCAGAATTCCCCAGCCAGCTGTGCCACAGAATTCTGGGAGTTGAAGTCCACAGGTCTTAAAGTGGCCAAGATTGGACAGACATGTCCTAAGCCTGGGGTCTCCAACCTTGGCAACTTTAAGCCTGGTGGACTACAACTTCAACTGGCTGGGGAATTCTGGGAGTTGAAGTCCGCCAGGCTTAAAGTTGCCAAGGTTGGAGACCCCTGCCTTAAGCTGCAACTGGTTTTTTGAGAGCAAAAGGAGAAACAGTGGTTAGGCTTCATTTGGCTGGATTACCTGAGGATCCGATCTGAATTTGAGTGATTTTTCGAAGGGTCGCTGGATGCAGGCTGTTGCTTCTCGTGAGTTTTGGCTAATTTTTCAGCAGCTGCAATGGGACAGCCAGATAAGCTATCGGAAGAAAGCAAGGAAGAAGCAGGAAAAAAAAAAAAAGAACAGGGAAGAGGAATGCAGGGATTAAATGAAATAAAATAGAACGGTTATAAGAAGGTGTGCCAGCGCCCTGGAGATTTCAAAATATTTTATGAAGAAAAGAGGTTTACACAAGGATGTCAACAATATTGTAAATCCTGCAAGATACATTGGGGAAAAAAATAATTCTAGTTAAGAATAAAACCAGCATAGAATGCTTGACACAGAAATTAGACGGAAAATTTAGTCACCGCAAAGAAAGGACAATTTTGACTTTTTGTTTTTGTTTTGACAATTTCTCAGATACTTTCTTAGTGGTGACATAATCCCTGCTTCTAAAAATGCAGTAGAGGTAGTCCTCAACATATAACAGTTCATTTAGTGAACACTAAATATCGTACAACATCAGTGAAAAAAGTGACTTATGACCATTTTTCACATGTACGACTATTGAGGTATCCCCGAGGTCAAAATTCAGATGCTTGGCAACTGACTCGTACTTATGACGGTTGCAGTGTCCCGGAGTCACGGGATCCCGTTTTGTAACCTTCTGACAAGCAAAGTCCAGGGGGAAGCCAGAGTCACTTAACCATGTTACTAATTTAATAGCTGCAGAGATTTGCTTAACAGCTGTGGCAAGAAAAATGGCTTGTAAAATGGGATAAAATTCAACTAACAAATGTCTCGCAACAGAAATTTGGGGCTAAACTGTGATCATAAGTCAAGGATTATCTGTACTATAGGACTATTAGATAGTCCTTATTTATTTATTATTTATTTATTTTATTTATTTTGATTTTTATACCACCCTTCTCCAGCAGGACTCAGGGTGGTGAACAGCTGAGATAAAACAGAGTATACAAAATTTAAAAAACAGTTTAAAAGGTAATTAAATAATTTCGGCCCACAATTTAAAACAACCCAATTAAAACCAATTTCAAATTAAAACCGAACGGATGGGATCAAGCCAGCCCGGCTAGATGAAATAAATGAGTTTTCAGGGCCCGACGAAAAGTCCAGAGGTCTGGTTTCGTGCGTATCTCAGGGGGTAGGTCGTTCCAGAGGGCAGGTGCTGCCACAGAGAAGGCTCTCCCCCTGGGGGTCACCAGCCGACATTGTCTGGCGGTCTTTGTGCGAGCGTACTGGCTGGTGGGAGGCTATTGGCGGCAGAAGGCGGTCTCGTAGATACCCCGGCCCTAAGCCATGGAGCGCTTTAAAGGTGATCACCAACACCTTGAAGCACACCCAGAAGACCACCGGGAGCCAGTGCAGCTCGCGCAGGAGAGGTGTCACATGGGAGCGCCCCGTCGCTCCCATAATCCCCCGCGTGGCCGCATTCTGGACCAACTGGAGCCTCCGGGTGCACCCCAAGGGGAGCCCCATGTAGAGAGCATTGCAGTAGTCCAGGCGGGAAGTGACGAGTGCCTGAGTGACCATGCATAGGGAGTCCCGATCCAGAAAGGGACGCAACTGGCGTATCAGGCGGACCTGATAAAAAGCCCCCCTGGCCACGGCCGTCATATGCTCTTCTAAAGACAGCCGTGCGTCCAAGAGGACGCCCAAGTTGCGAGCCCTCTCTGTGGGGGCCAGTGATTCGCCCCCAATAACCAGCGATGGCACCAGCTGGCTATATCGGGACGCCGGAAGCCACAGCCTCTCGGTCTTGGAAGGGTTGAGTCAGAACCTGTTTCTCCCCATCCAGGCCCGCACAGCCTCCAGGCACCGGGACATCACTTCAAGGGCATCGTTGGGGTGGCCTGTGGTGGAGATGTACAGCTGGGTGTCATCAGAGTACTGATGGAATTTCACCCCAAAGCCTATTTAAGGAAGGACGACCACTGAGGCAATTTGCAGGGAACAACTTCATTCACTCTCCTTCATGTCTTGATCTTAGTTCTCTGCAAATTGCTTCTGGGCTTTCTGCCAACCATAGTAAGATTACGATTATTTATTCTTTGGATTCTTTTAGGCTGTTAAGAAAATTAATTAACAGCCTTTGTTTGAAAAAGACTGATTTAATTTAGTAAACTAAGGTTTCTACAGACTTTGTGTATGCTGCGTTCTTTGGGGTCCGTAGCTGGGGCAGAACACCTCCTGACAAGCAAGAGTCGATGGGGAAGCCAGATTCACTTAACGACCGTCTTGCTAATTTAACAAGTGCTGTGATTTAGTTAACAACCGTGACAAGAGAGGTCCTAAAGTAGGACGAACTCGCTTAACAAATGTTTCACTTCGCGACAGAGGTTTTGGGCTCAATGGTGATCGTAAGTCAAGGACCACCTGTAATTTTGCGTGTGTGTGTGCAAATTAATGCAAGATAGACAAGAGAAAAATGCAAGACAATTTCTGATGCCACTCTGTGTTTCCAGTCCTTTTCTGAATTTTCCTTCCCCCAGTTCGACTGCTGTCCCAATCAGCTAATCGTGTTTGTTAAACATACAGCTGCCTGGTCCATTATTTTGAATACCTCGGATATGGCAGAAAAAAAATCACATACCTTCGGTGAGTATTGCGGTTGCTATTTACATGGCCCTGTCCGGTGCATCCAGGTGTTGGACATTTTAATACATTCTCGTGCATGGCCAGGACTTGAGAATGAAGAAGAAAATGATGACAAAGGTGAGAATCATAGTAATAACAAAAGAAGTAACAGAATAACAGAGTTGGAAGGGACTTTGGAGGTCTTCTAGTCCAACCCCTGCTCCAGCAGGAAACCCTATACCAGGGGTGTCAAACTGAAGGGGCGGGGGCCGAATCTGGCCCGTGGGGCCGCCCTGGAAACAGCGAACGACTGGCCCGTGGTGCCTCTGCCAGTGAAAACGTAGCTCAGGAGGACCATGCAAGGCCCTCCCAGACTCCATTTTCGGCCGTGACGGCCTCCTGCACCCTCTGCCAGGGAAAACATAGCTCGGGAGGACTATTTGCAGCCCTCCCAGACTCCGTTTTTGGCTAGGATGACCTCCTGCAGCCATCTACCAGGGAAAATGGAGCTCGGGAGGGCCATGCACGCCCCTCCCAGACTCCACTTTTGGCCGGGACGGCCTCCTGCAGCCCTCTGCCAGGGAAAATGGAGCTCGGGGGGGGGGGGACGCACGCGTCCCCCCCGAACTCTGTTTTCCCTGACAGAGGGCTGCAGGAGGCTGTCCCGGCCGAAAATGGAGCTCGGGAACCCGTTTTTGCTGGCAGAGTGCTCAGGCCACCACAGGTGCCCCCCCTTGCTGGACAAGAGTGACACAAAGCTGGTGATGCCCACCCTGGCCCCCCGAGGTCAAATACAACCCTGAGGCGGCCCTCAATGAAATCAAGTTTGACACCCCTGTCCTATACCATTTCAGACAAATGGTTCTCCAATCTCTTTTTAAAAACCTCCAGTGATGGAGCACCCTCAACTTCTGGAAGAGACCCCCGCCCAAAAAAACCCTGAGAGAAAGAAACCTTAGTTATTTATTTCCTCACGGGTAAATGAAAAACCAAAATAAGTGCAAGTGTGCTGTTCTTTTTTCTTTACTTTCAAGGTTATCTTCACCCAAGGCAGCGAGGTTAAAAATATGTATGTTGGTTTTAAAGAATCAGAGGTTTGAGATAGATATATGGAAAGCCACTTCTTTGAACCTGATGTGCATCCATTGAAACTTCGGCACTGGATTATAAGTACCTTTCGTGGAGTCCAATGTGACTTCGCACCGTCGCTAAGTGACTGGTCATAAGTGAAGGACTACCTATACATAGTTGTTAAGGATATATATAGCCTTTGAACCTGCAACTCCTAGATTAATTTTTCAGTGGGCTTCTTATTGGATCAAAGCAATGCGTTTCCCAAAGCACCTGAAGGCCAGGCAAAAAATAATGGATGGAAACTGATCAAGGAGAGATCCAACTTAGAAGTAAGGAGAAATTTCCTGACAGTGAGAGCAATCAACCAATGGAACAGAAGTTGCCTTCAGATATTGTAGGAGCTTCATCACTGGAGGCTTTGAAGAAGAGACTGCACTGCCATCTGTCAGAAATGGTGTAGGGTCTCCTGCTTGGGCGGGGGGTTGGACTAGATGAGCTACAAGATCCCTTCCAACTCTGTTATTTATAAAAAATAGATAGATAAATAAATAGATAGATAGATAGATAGATAGATAGATAGATAGATAGATAGGATACATTGATAGATATTAGATAAATGACTGATGATAGAGGGAGAAATGAGAGATATGAGAGATGATAGAGAGAGAGAGGATGAGATGATAGAGATAGATAGATAGATAGATAGATAGATAGATAGATAGATAGATAGGTAGGTAGGTAGATAGATGGCAGATGGATGATAAATGATAGATGATAAATGATAGATGGATGGATGATAGATGATAGAGGGAGAAATGATAGATATGAGAAGATGATAGAGAGAGAGGATGAGATGATAGATAGATAGATTGATAGATATATTGATAGATATTAGATAAATGATTGATGATAGAAGGAGAAATGAGAGATATGAGAGATGATAGAGAGAGAGAGGATGAGATGATAGAGATAGATAGATAGATAGATAGATAGATAGGTAGATAGATGGCAGATGGATGATAAATGATAGATGATAAATGATAGATGGATGGATGATAGATGATAGAGGGAGAAATGATAGATATTAGAAGATGATAGAGAGAGAGGATGAGATGATAGATAGATGTAGATGATATAGATAGATAGATAGATAGATAGATAGATAGATAGATAGATAGAGATAGAATGATAGGTATATTAGATAGCTAGCTAGCTAACTAACTAGATATAGATGAGATAGATAGATAGATAGCGCTAACTAGCTAGCTAGCTAGACAGACAGACAGACAGACAGATCCCTTATAATTATTTGCAGCATAAAATTAGTTAGAGAAGGGAGGAGAGATAGCTAGCTAGCTAGCTAGCTAGATAATGATAGGTATATTAGATAGATAGATATAGATGAGATAAATATAGATGAGATAGACAGATAGATAGATAAATAGATAGATAGATTCCATATATTTATCTCAAATTTCTGATTCTTTAATACAAACATACATATTTTAATCTCACTGCCTTTTGTGAAGATAACCTTGAAAATAAAGAAAAAGATCTTTCAAAAGAACAGCACTTGCACTTATTTTTGTTTTTCATTTACCCGTGAGGAAATAAACAACCAATGTTCTCTTTCTCTCTTTCTCTCTCTCTTTTGTGGCTCTGCAGCCTTTGAAATGAACTGATAAGACAGACTGTTTTGTTATTGTTATTTTTTTTTTTCATAAGCTCACACCTTCTTTCTTGAGAGAGAATGATAAAAGAAATGATTTTAGACTCAGAAATAGCAAATATTTCCCCTTTGGGGGGAAAAAGGTAAATGAAACTCTTCCGTACCACCTTGTCTTATTAAAATTTAAAATCTCCCAGCACTGGCCTATTCAGCTTTCTCTCCAAATAGGTTGAGATGGAGAAAAATATCGCTTTCCCTCCCCCCCACCCTTCTTCTTGTCTTGCATTTTATAGGCGTCAGTACAGATGAAGTTGCTGATTTATCCCAAGGCAAGAGCCTATTGGGGTTGGGCGGCTGAAATAAATTTCAATAATCGATAAAATATATAAATTAAGGATACCCCCGACATTTTTGCTAGAGGATTCTTCATCCAGGCTCAGTAATCAGCCTCTGCTATTCTCCATTCATCCTTTCATGAGGAAAATCCGCAATTTTTCTAAAAGTAGGCCTAGACTCACATTCTATCCATCTAGCACAGATAGTCCTCAATTTATAACCGTTCATTTAGTGACCATTCAACGTTACAGTGGCACTGAAAAAAAACTAGCTTATTTTTCACACTTACGACCTTCGAAGCATCCCCACCAGGGATTGAAAGATTTTAGCAACCGGTTCTCTGCCCAGTTGCTGGGTGGGCATGGCCATTGGGGCATGGCCTAATCCAGTGATGGCTAACCTTTTTGCCATCGCGTGCCAGGAGTGGGGGGGAGTCGCGCGCACGCGTGCCCACATCCATAAGTCTATGCGCCCCGCTCCCGCGCAAGTGAGTGTGACTTCCCCGCTCTCCCCCCATTCCCCCCTCCTTGCTCCTGGCACGCGATGACACGGTGGGCCCGTTTTTTCACTCTCCCCAGGCTCCAGACCCTTTCTAGGAGCTTGGGGAGAGTGAAAACAGCCTTCCCCACCCCCCCAGAGGCCCTCCAGAGGCTGGAAATGGCCCGTTTGCCAACTTCCGGTGGGACGGGAAGGCCCGTTTTTCGCTCTCCCCAGCCTCCAGAGCCTTTCTAGGAGCTTGGGGAGGGCAAAAACAGACTTCCCCTCCCCCCGGAGGCCGGAAATGGCCCATTTGCCTACTTCCGGTGGGACAGAGTTGAGCTCGCGTGCCCAAAGATATGGTTACGTGTGCCACGCGTGCCATAGGTTCGCCATCATGGACCTAGTTGGTTTCCTGCACCATGGTGGGGAGGGGGGGCATTTTTGTCCTCCCAAGACTCCGGAGGTTTTCCTTGAGCCTCCAGGAGGCTGAAAACGGCCTCCCCTGGGCTCCGGAGGCTCTCCGGAAGCCAAAAACAGGCCCGTTTCCGGACTTTTGGTACTTCCAGTAGGCCCGTTTTTCACTCTCCCAGAGCCTCTGTGCAGGGCCTGCAGTTACCTGGCATCCAAAATGGGCCGCATGGAAACTCCTGGGAGGGACGCGGTAGGGTGGGCGGGGTCACCCAGTCCTTGCAACTACCGGTTCGGCAAACCAGATTAAAATTAACATCCGGTTCGCCCGAACTGGTCTGAACTGGTTGAATCCCACCCCTGATCCCCACATGATCCAAATTCAGGCGCTTGGCAACTAACTGACTCATATTCATGACGGTTGCAGTGTCCCAGGGTCATGTGATCACCTTTGGTGACCTGACAAGCAAAGTCAATGGGGAAGCCAGATTCACTTAACAACCGGGCTATTAATTTAAGAGCCGCAGCGATTCACTTAACAACCGTAGCAAGAAAGGACATAAAACGGGGCAAAATTCAATTGTCTTGCTTAGCAAGAAAAATTTTGAGCTCAGTTGTGGTCGTAAATCAAGGGCTACCTGTATATACTTTAATCTCACAGTCTTCTCTGAGGATCAACTTGAAAGAAAATAAATAAAATTACAAGGGCTCCTCAATTTACACTGAAAAAAATGATTTACAACTGGTCCTCGCACTTACAACCATTGTGGCATCCCCACGGTCACATGACCAGAACTGAAGCACTTCTCAAATCGGCATGTACAGGTGTTCCTCGACTTACAACAGTTCATTTAGTGACCATTCCAAGTTACAACATCACTGAAAAAAGTGACTTATGACCATTTTTCACACTTACGACCGTTTGCAGCATGATTTACATTCAGATGCTTGAGAATGGATTCATGTTTATGACAGTTGCAATATCCCGGGGGTCACGTGATCCCCTTTTGCGACCTTCTGACCGGCAAAGTCGACAGGGAAAGCCAGATTCACTTAACAACCGTGTTGCTCACTTAACCACTGCGGCGATTCACTTAACAAACGTGGCAAGCAAAGTTGTAAAATGGAGCCAAACTGACTTAACAAATTTCTCACCGAGCAACATCACTTCTGGTTGCTCAATTGTGGTCGTACGTCGAGGACCACCTGTGCTTATTTTTTATTTTTTTTTAATTTGATTTATATGCCGCCCTTCTCCGAAGACTCAGGGCGGCTTACAATGTGCTCAGCAATAGCCTTCATCCTTTTGTATATTTATACAAAGTCAGCTTATTGCCCCCACAACTGGGTCCTCAATTCACCTACCTTAGAAAGGATGGAAGGCTGAGTCAACCTTGAGCCTTGGCGAGATTCGAACCCTGCAGTAATTGCAGGCAGCTGGTCTTAATAACCAACTTAATAACAGGGTGCCTTAAACCCCTGTACTACCAAGGCTCTTATAACATTTTCAGTGTCCCGGGGTCATGTGATTTCCTTTTGGTGGCCTTCCCAACCAGCTTCCAAGAAGCCGAGTCTATAGGGGAAGCGGATCCATTTAAGGACCATGTGATTCACTTAAGAACTGCAGTGATTTGCTTAACGACCGTGGCAAAAAACAAACAAATCCTTGGCTACTCGATCAGGGGTTTCCAACCTTGGCAACTTTAAGACTTGTAGACTTCAACTCCCTGCTGGCTGAGGGATTCTGGGAGTTGAAGTCCACAAGTCTTAAAGTTGCCAAGGTTGGAGACCCCTGCACTAAATGAATGGTTGCACTTTGAGGATTTATCTGCAAACAGCTGTTTCATAAGAATTCCACTAACGGTTACCGCCATGTAGTGGATTTTAAGACGCACTTACTCTCCGGAGGAATCCTGTCTTTGTGCGGGCAACCGGATAAGCTGCGATGGTGAGGATAGAGTCCTGTGACGTGACCGGTGCCATCACAGCCTGGAGTGGGACATTTGATTTCACGCTTCTCGGGTCTTGAAGAATCTAGAAAATGAAGGAAGAGGGTGCATAAAGGACTTTACGATAAGATTTAGATGGGTAAGGTTGCTCCAAGAAACCTGTCCAGTCATCTACAATCATTTTTTCCCCTGAAAAAAAGGAGGGAGGGAGGGAGGGAGGGAGGGAGAGAGAGAGAGAGAGAGAGAGAGGGGGAGAGAGGGAGAGAGAATTTGGTCTAATGGTAAAGGTACTGAGCAAGAAAGTGGGAGACCGTGAGTTCTAGTCCTGTTTTAGGCATGAAAGCTGAGTGGGTGACTTTGGGCCAATCACCAGGCAACGGTGAGTTCTAGTCCTGCCTTAGGTGTGAAAGCTGGTTGGGTGATTTTGGATCAATCATTAGGAGACTGTGAGTTCTAGTCCTGCCTTAGGTGTGAAAACTGGGTGGGTGACTTTGGATCAATCACCAGGAGATTGTGAATTCTAATCTGGTTTTAGGGATGAACCTAATTGGATGATTTTGGGAAAAAATCACCAGGAGATGGTGGAGTTCTAGACCCACCTTAGCTGTGAAAGCCATCTGGCTGACTGTGGACCACTCATTCTCTCTCTTCCTAGCCCAACTCACAGGGTGGTTGTTGCGGGGGAAATAGGAGAAGGAAGGTGTGTTGGATATGTTCATCTGCCTTGAGTTATTTGTAAAAATAATAAAGGTGGGATATAAATGGATGGATGGACGGATGGACAGACAGACAGATAGATAGAGGGTTGGGATTCAGCCGGTTTGGACCAGTTCGTGTGAACCTGTAGTTATGGCCAGCGGCTGGGCCCACCCACCCGCCCTGGCGCTATCCTGTCTTATACAATCACAGTGTTTTCGACATAGCGTGAGCGAACGAAGCTATCCTGTCCTATACAATCACCATTTTTGATACAGCGCACGTGCTTGAGCGAGGCTATCCCGTCCTATACAATTGTTGTGTTTTTGACACAGCTTGCTGTGCGCAAGAGGTGTGCGCGCAAGTGAAGCGAGCATGTGTGCACGCATGCTCACATTTTTGATTCTGGGCGAACCCGTTGTTAAATTATGTGAAGCCCTCGTTGTGGCCCATCAGTGGCCTGTGCGGATTGTAGCTGATTCCGACAGCGAGGAGGCTGGTGTGGTGCTGCACCAGCAGCTTGTGCAGCTGGCACTCGAGTCAGACAATGAGGAGGCTGGAGAAGATGTGGTGCCAGAGGCGGGGATTCAGCCAAGGCCTTCAGAACCTCCAGAAGCTCCTTTAAGTGAAGAGGACGAAGAGGAGGAGCCTCTTCTCAATGCACGGGCACACAGAGCTGCCAAAAGGCTGAAGTGGCTCCTCAGGAGGAGGTCTCTGCGAGAGTAAGTCTTGGGGCTAATTGGCCACTCCCTTAGCCTATTTAAGGAAGAACGCCGACTGAAGCAATTTGCAGGGAACAACTTTAGTTCACTCTCCTTCGCGTCTGGATTCTCTGCAAATTGCTTCTGGGCTTTCTGCCAACCTTAGTAAGATTGTGAATACTTTATTTTTGGTTTCTTGTAGGCTGTTAAGAAAGTTTATTAACAGCCTTTGTTTGGAAAAGACTTGAGTTATTTTAGTAGATTTAAGTTTTGTACAGACTTTGTGTGTGCTGTGTTCTTTGGGGTCCTTAGCTGGGGCAGAACACCTCTTCTGGATGGATGGATGGATGGATGGATGGATGGATGGATGGATGGATGGATGGATGGATAGATAGATAGATAGATAGATAGATAGATAATAGATAGATAATAGATTGATAGATCAATCAATCGATAGATAATAGATATAGATAATATAGATAGATCGATAGATTGATAGATAAGATAGATAGATAGATAATAGATAGATAATAGATTGATTGATTGATTGATTGATCAATCGATAATAGATAGATAATAGATATAGATAATATAGATAGATAGATAATAGATAGATAGATATAGATAGATAGATAATAGATAGATAGATAATAGATAGATAGATAGATATAGATAGATAGATAGATAATAGATAGATAGATAGATAATAGATAGATAGATAATAGATAGATAATAGATAGGTAGATAGATAGATAGACAGACAGACATAGATAATAGATAGATAGATAGATAATAGATAGATAATAGATAGATAGATAGGTAATAGATAGATAGATGATAGATAGATAACAGATAGATAGATAGATAGATAGATAGATAACAGATAGATAGATAGATAGATAGATAGATAGATAACAGATAGATGATAGATAGATAGATAGATAATAGATAGATAAGTAATAGATAGATGATAGATAGATAGATAGATAATAGATAGATAATAGATAGATAGATAGGTAATAGATAGATAGATGATAGATAGATAACAGATAGATAGATAGATAGATAGATAGATAACAGATAGATAGATAGATAGATAGATAGATAGATAACAGATAGATGATAGATAGATAGATAGATAATAGATAGATAAGTAATAGATAGATAATAGATAGATAGATAGATATAGATAGATAGATAGATAATAGATAGATAGATAGATAATAGATAGATAGATAATAGATAGATAATAGATAGGTAGATAGATAGATAGACAGACAGACATAGATAATAGATAGATAGATAGATAATAGATAGATAATAGATAGATAGATAGGTAATAGATAGATAGATGATAGATAGATAACAGATAGATAGATAGATAGATAGATAGATAACAGATAGATAGATAGATAGATAGATAGATAGATAACAGATAGATGATAGATAGATAGATAGATAATAGATAGATAAGTAATAGATAGATGATAGATAGATAGATAAGTAATAGATAGATAGATGATAGATAGATAAGTAATAGATAGATAGATGATAGATAGATAACAGATAGATAACAGATAGATAGATAAGATAGATAGATAGATAGATAGATAGATAGATAGATAGATAGATAGAGTTCCTATGCAGATCAGATCTACATTCTGCTGTAGGGATTCCTGCTTGGGCGGGGGGTTGGACTAGATAACCTACAAGGTCCCTTCCAACTCTGTTAACTAGCCTCCCGAAGGGAACAACGTTTTGGCTCACCAAGACCCACGATGGTGGGGAAGTCCCATTATTTGCCTCATCAAGATGGCAGCGATGATTTTAAAAAATCGCCTTCCTGGGACGCTTTTCATCACTTCTGCGGCTTCCTCCGCTTCTTCCTGTACTCAAGAAAAGGCCTCTGTCCTTTGCAGGGAAGCCTTTCCTGGTTCCTGAACGTGTCGGAGATTCCCCGAGAAGTTGTGCCAAATGAAACACCACCCAGCCGCTTCCCCTTTCCTTTAAGAGCGTTCTTTGATTTACTTTCCTTAACTTCTCAAAGGCAGCTTTGAAGCTCGGCTGCCGGCAGCGTCAAAGTGAAACGTCCTTTCAAAGCTTTTCCGCAGCCCTACAAGCTCTCGTCTTCTGTGGGCAGGAAGACTTTAGGCGATTGAATTGGAACCCTACGGGCATCAAAGTGCCAAAGTTGCCTCGGTTTATTAACTCAAATGCCTACTTAACTCCGGTCTCCAAGTCTCTGGCAGGGATCAGAACAAAATACAGCCCTGGGAATCAAAGGTATTATAAGGTAGACTCTGGAGACTTGCTCCTTATCAGAATAACAGAAGAGTTCAATTTCGATTTCAATTTCATTCAATTTATATGCCGCCCCTCTCCAAAGACTCAGGGCGGCTCACAATACATAAGTTGGAAGGGACCTTGGAGGTCTTCTAGTCCAACCCCCTACTGAAGCAGGAGACCCTCTACCAGTGATGGTGAATCTTTTCGGCACCGAGTGCCCAAACCGGAACATGCGTGGATGCGCGTGAATGTGTGTGCGTGTGCACGCCAGAGTGCTGGAAATCCGAAGATCGGTTGGTTGGCACGCGAATGCCTCTTTTTTTGGCTGTTTTTGGCTGTTTTTCGGGCCGTTTTTCAGGCCTTCAGCTTGAAAATGGCCAGAAAACGGTCTAAGAACCTTGGTAGTACAGTGGTCTAAGGCACCCTGTTATTAAGCTGGTTATTAAGACCAGCTGCCTGCAATTACTGCAGGTTCGAATCTCGCCAGGCTCAAGGTTGACTCAGCCTTCCATCCTTTCTAAGGTAGGTAAATTGAGGACCCAGATTGTGGGGGGCAATAAGCTGACTTTGTATAAATATACAAAAGGATGAAGGCTATTGCTGAGCACATTGTAAGCCTCCCTGAGTCTCCGGAGAAGGGCGGCATATAAATCAAATTAAAAAAAAAAAAAAAAAGAACAACCTGAAACGGCCTTGAAAGCAGCCCAAAAATGGCCTGAAAATGGCTAGAAAACAGCCTGAAAAACAGCCGAAACGACCCTGAAAACCGCCTGAAAACGGCCTGAAAAACGGCCTGAAAAACCGCCAAAAAATGGTGTGAAAATGGTATGAAACGGCCCTGAAACGGCCCAAAAAACAGCCTGTTTTTTGGTCATTTTTGGCCATTTTCAGGCCGTTTTCTGGTGCTCTGGCGCCTGGAAACCAGAAGAGCAGCTGGTGATGGCGTGCATGCCCACAAAGAGGGCTCTGCGTGCCACCTCTGGCATGCGTGCCATACGTTCGCCATCACAGCCCTATACCATTCCAGACAAGTGACTGTCCAGTCTCTTCTTAAAAACCTCCAGTGATGGAGCCCCCACAACTTCTGGTGGCAAGCTGTTCCGCTGGTTTATTCTTCTCATTATCAGGAAATAGGGTTAATTGGCAGTGTCTGAAAAGTTATATACTAAACTTTTACCAGGCTACAGGTAATCCTCAACTTACAACCATAACAGAGTCTGCCCATCACAGTTGTAAGTTGCAATGGCTGTAAGGCGGGCAGGTCATGTGATTTACCATGCTTTACCACTTTTTTGTTATGTCTACACCGAGTGAGTTCTAGTCCCACTTTTGGCATGAAAGCCAGCTGGGTGTCTTTGGGCCAGTCATTCTCTCTCAGCCCGACCTACCTCACAGGGTTGTTGTTGTTGTGTGGACAATAAGAGGAGGAAGGTGTGTGTTGGATATGGTCGCCGCCTTTGAGCTATTTGTAAACATACTAAAGGCTGGATGCAAATAGATAAATTAATAAATAATAAAGCAGCTGCCACTGTTGTTAACTGAGCACCACAGTCATTAAGAAAACCCCACAGTTGTTAAGTGAACTAGTGGCTTGCTATGCTGCTGCTTTGCCGACATTGATTTATGACCGTTGCAGTGTCCCCGGGGCCTCATGACCGCCATTTGGAACCTTCCGAGGAGGTTTCCAACAAGCAAAATCGATAGGGGAAGCCGGATTCCCTTAGCGACCGCATGATTCACTTAACAAGTGCATCGATTCGCCAAAAGTTGCTGAGGCAAGAACGGGAGCTCATCCCGTCTCGCGTGCTTGGGTCTCAAACCCAGGCTGTCAGCTTTCCAGCCGGAAGGAAAGCTCAGTGTCTTTTGACGCGCGGAGCCGTCTCTCTTCTTACCTTTGCTGTAATAGTTCTTCCTGATGGAGTCCAAGGTCTTGTTCTGCTTCTCCTCCGCTTGGAAGTGTTTCGCGTGCTCTCCCGTCGCCTGCTGCCCGGGCTCCCTCACCACCTTGACCTGTTCCGCTTTCAGGGCGATGGCCTGCTCCAACAGGCCCAGGTTCCCCCGCGTCATCATGTCATACATCTCGGATTCGTCGGTCACGGTGGACTTCTGAGAGTGGGTGTCGTCATCCTTTTCATCATCGGACCTCACCTCCACAATGACAGAATATTCCGGCTTGGGGTCGACCGCTTGTCGTTCACAGTGAGTTTGGGGGCTACCCTGAGACGTGTGAGGCGCTTCTTGACAGACGACATCAGCCATCGCTTCCTCTTCCTCTTCTTCCTCCTCTTCGTATTCTTCTTCTTCTTCCTCCTCCTCCTCCTCTTCTTCCTCCTCCTCCTCCTCTTCTTCTTCTTCTTCCTCCTCCTCCTCCTCCTCTTCTTCCTCCTCCTCTTTTTGGAGTTTGCACGAATCCTCACAGCTCGCCTCATCCTCCCGATGTTCCAGGCACAAGTCACTGCTCCTCTCGCTGGTGACCTCGATCACTTCTTCTGCATCTTCTGTATGGATGATGATCTCCTTTTCGCACTGCTCCTCAACGGCTTCTTCCTCTTCTTCCTCTTCCTCCTCTTCCTCCTCTTCTTCTTCTTCTTCCTCCTCCTCCTCTTCTTCTTCTTCTGTTGCTCCTTCACAGAGCAAGTGCATGGTGTTTCCCCCGCTGCTCGAGACCTCGCCTTCGCTTTCCGACACGGGCCGTTTAGAGACGAGAGTTCCTTCTGTTCTTTGGCCTGGGTTGAAAAAAGAATGATTGCTTGAAAATGGTTGTAGGTACAACCGGGGTTGGGGGGGGGGGGGGGGGGGGGGTAAGCGTGTCCCTACTTTTGTGTCCGTTGTGTGGTGTGTGTGAGGCTTTTGCACGGCAAGCAGGATAGCAAGTACAGGGAGACACTGGGGCGTCCTTGGTGCACACTGAGCTTGGGGGTTTTCTTGTCGACGTTTCATGACCCAATTAGGTAACATCATCAGTGCTTGAAGGGATGGGTGTTTGTGGAGTGGAGGGAGGAGGTGGAGGAGGAAGAGGAGGAGGAGGAGGAGGAGGAGGAGGAGGAGGACAGTGGGGTCTTTGGTGCTCTCTGAGATTGTTGATTTTCTTACAAACATTTCATGACCCAACTAGCTAATATCATCAGTGCTTGAAGGGAGGTTGTTTGTGGAGTGGAGGGAGGAGGAGGAGGAGGAGGAAGAGGAGGAGGAGGAGGAGGAGGGAAGAGGAGGAGGAGGAAGAGGAAGAGGAAGAGGAAGAGGAAGAGGAAGAGGAGGACAGTGGGGTCTTTGGTGCTCTCTGAGATTGTTGATTTTCTTACAGACATTTCATGACCCAATTAGGTAACATCATCAGTGCTTGAAGGGAGGGTTGTTTGTGGGTGGAGGGAGGAGGAGGAAGAGGAAGAGGAGGAGGAGGAGGACAGTGGGATCTTTGGTGTTCTCTGAGATTGGTGGTTTTCTTGCGGACATTTCATGACCCAACTAGGTAACATCATCAGGGCTTGAAGGGAGGGGTGCTCGTGAAGTGGAGAGAGGAGGTGGAGGAGGAGGAGGACAGTGGGATCTTTGGTGCTCTCTGAGATTGGTGGTTTTGCAGACGTTTCATGACCCAACTAGGTAACATCATCAGTGCTAGAAGGGAATAGGGCTTGCTTCATTTTATATTCTAGTGGCTTGCCCTATTAGCACCGGTGGGAGTAGTCTAGGAGCCCAACTGAAGACCCTCCAAGACCTCTCCCAACAACACCGATGGCGCAATCTGCTAGAATACAGGGAATCCTGGACTTAACAACAGTCCATTTAGTGACCGTTCAAAGTTATAAGGGCACAAGGGAAAAAAAAGTGACTTGGGACCGCTTTTCACACTTACGACCGTTGCAGCATCCCCAGGCGCACGTGATTTACATTCGGATGCTTGACAGCCGACTCACATTTATGACGGTTGCGCAGCGTCCCAAGATCATGTGATCCCCTTTTTGTGACCTTCCGACAAGCAAAGTCAGTGTGGGAAGCCAGGTTCACTTAACAACGTTGGTACTAATTTAAGAACGGCAGCGATTCATTTAATAAATGTGGCGAGAAAACTCATAAAACGGGGCCAAACTCACTTAACAAATTTCTCACTTAGCCACATCAATTTTGGGCTCAATTGTGGTCGTAAGTCGAGGACTACCTGTATAAATTGAGAGCAAACCCCATGCCTTACTATCACTGATGTTGTTACGTAGTTGGGTCATGAAACGTCCCAAGAAAACAACCCAGCTCCAAGAACACCAAGGACTTCTCAAAATGTAGCTCCATTCTTAATTTTCTGAATTAATTAATTAATTAATTTATTATTTAAATTTCTATACCGCCCTTCTCCTTTCGGACTCAGGGCGGTGAACAGCCAAAAATAAAACATTTGTACACAAAAGTCCTTCGGGAGTAGGGCGGTATACAAATTGAAATAATAAATAAATAAATAAAAATAATTTTAAAATAATTAAATAAAGTTTGGCCCATAATTTAAAACATTTCAATTAAAATCAGTATAAATTGATTGAATGAAGAACTTATGGACATATTATTTAGAGCAGGGGTCTCCAACCTTGGCAACTTTAAGCTTGGAGGACTTCAACTCCCAGAATTCCCCAGCCTGGGAGTTGAAGTCCTCCAGGCTTAAAGTTGCCAAGGTTGGAGACCCCTGATTTAGAGGAGCCATTGCAGCTGGTCCTACACTTAACAACCATTCGTTTAGTGACCCTTTGAAACAGGGGTGGGTTCTAATTTTTTTTACTACCGGTTCTGTGGGCGTGGCTTATTTTGTGGGCATGGTTTGATGGTCATGTGACAATTCTTTAGGATTTAGCAGAGGTACTGGTCTACCAGGCTTTTAACTGCTTGCAGAGCTGTACTGATCTACCCATTTATTTTTTGCAGGCACTGATTCATGTATTTTTGCAAGTACTGATCTACTCATGTATTTTTGCAGGCACTGGTCTACTCATTTGTTTTCTTTTAACACTGATCAGCTGTAGGACGGCCCTTTGAAGCCCCCCGGCAAGAGTTTAAACAGTTTTTTTCCTTCTAGCCATCAGCTGGGACTCAGGAGGCAGCAATAGATTGGGGGTGGGGCCAAATAAAAGGTAAGAATAACGTGGGGGTGGGGGGCACGGGGGGCACGGGGGGCAGAACCGGTTTGGTGACGTCATATCGTCACCGCTACTGGCTCGGGAGAACCAGGCCGAACCGGGAGAAACACACCACTGCTTTGAAGTTACAATGGCACTGAAAAACTGACTTATGACTAGTCCTCACACTTATGACCATCGCAGCATTTCCCCACAGTCACGTGATCAAAATTCAGATACACTTGGCAACGGGCATGTTCATAGGACAGTTGCATTCTCCTGGAGTCATGTGATCTCCATTTGCGGCTTTTCTAACCTTAGCTTCTGACGAGCAAAGTCAACCGGGGGAAATTAGGTTTGCTTAACAACCAGGCGATTCACTTAACAAGGGCAGCGATTCGTTTAACAACGGTGGCCAAAAAGGTCATCAAACGAGGCACAAGTCCCTTAACAACGGCCTCACTTAGCAACGGAAATTCTGCTCCACGGACTCACTTAAGAACCATCTTGGTTTTGCGATGGAAATTCTGGTCGTTAAGTCGAGGACTACCTGTACAGTGTCGACATGATCAGAAGCAACCCCCGCACCTTCTTCCGAGGGAGGGCTGCTGGACGCCTCCTTTTGGGCCAGGGCTTCTCCCTCGTCTTCCTCTTCCAGGGTGCCTTCTGAATCGTCCGTCACAGAGTCCTGCTTGGCTTCGGCCTCTTCGCTCCCATCACTGTCCACATTGTAGCCCTCGTCAAGGGTGAGCTTCAAGGGATGCGACTTCCTCTTGGGCGCCAGGTGTTCTGCTTCTACGTGCTGGAGTTTCCTCTTCTTCGCCAGAGGGCAGCTTTGTAAACTAGGAGGAAAACCGGGAGAAAAGAGGAAGAGGGAGAGAGAGAGGAAGAAGAAGAAGAGAAAGAAGAGAGAAAGAGAAAGAGAAAGAGAGAAAAATAGAAACAGAAAGAGAGGAGAAGAGAAAGAGAGAGAGAAACAGAAACAGAAAGAAAAGGAAGAGAAAGAGAGAGAAAGAAAAACAGAAATAGAAAGAGAGAGGAAGAGGGAGAAGAGAAACAGAGGAAGAGAAAGAGACAAAGAGACAAAGAAAAAGAGAAAGAGAGAAACAGAAACAGAGAGAGAGGAAGAGAAAGAGAGAGAGAGAGAAACAGAAACAGAAAGAGAGGGGAAGAGAAAGAGAAGAGAAAGAGAAACAAAGAAGGAGGAAGAGAAAGAGAGAGAAAGAAAAATAGAAACAGAAAGAGAGGGGAAGAGAAAGAGAGAGAAAGAGAAACAGAAACAGAAAGAGAAGGAAGAGAAAGAGAGAGAGAAAGAAAAACAGAAATAGAAAGAGAGAGGAAGAGGGAGAGAGAGAAACAGGAAGAGAAAGAGAAAAAGAGAAAGAGAAAAGAGAAACAAACAGAGAGAGAGGAAGAGAAAGAGAGAGAAAGAAAAATAGAAAGAGGAAGAGGAAGAGAAAGAGAGAGGTGGAGAGAGAAAGAGAGAGAGAAACAGAAACAGAGAGGAGGAGCAAGAGCAAGAGAAGAGAAAGAAGAGGAAGAGAGGAAGAGAGAGAGAAACAAAAACAAAAAGAGAGGAAGAGAAAGAGAGAGAAAGGAAGAGAGGAAGAGAAAGAGAGAAAGAAAGAGAAAGAGAGAAGAGAGAGAGAGAAACAGAAACAGAAGGAAGAGCAAGAGAAGAGAAAGAAAGAGAAAGAGAAAGAGAGGAAGAGAGAGAAACAGAAATAGAAAGAGAGGAAGAGAAAGAGACAGAAAGAGAAAGAAAAAGAGAAAGAGGGAAAGAGAAAGAGAGAAACAGAAACACAAAGAGAGAAGAGAAACAGAGAGAAACAGAAACAGAGAGAAAGAGAGAGAGAGAGAAGCATAAGAGAAACATCTCAACACACTGTGGTAGAAAGAGGCGTCTACAGAACCGTATGTCCATTTCCTAGTGCTATTAATTTGATGGAAGCTCAGAATTATAACTACTGTATATAAATAGCATGTAAGAGTCCATATCATCCCATAATATTCTCAGCATGATCTGGTTAATGACCAACTGAATATTCAAGGTGTGCATTTTCCACATTATAAAGAGTTTTCAGGTTATTATAGTTCAACTTTCTGGGCCATTCTCATCTCTGGCCACCTTGAATCGATTCTTATGAGAATGCAGATTCTTGCCTATTACTTCCAAGAAACTAGAAGCATCAATCAAAGGCGCTCTGTTTTCTTCTGTAAGAAAACAGATATTCAAAGAGGCCCCTTTCTCTGCTGATCATGATGAGTTATAAGGAGGTACTACAGCTCACTGTCGCCTAGTGATTGGCCCAAAGCTGACTTTTATGCATAAGGTGGAACTAGAACTCACAGTCTCCTGATGAATGGCTCAAAATCATCCAGTGGGACTGGAACTCACAGTCACCTGGTGATGGGCCCAAAGTCACCCAGCTGGCTTTCATGCCTAAAGTGAAACTGGAACTCACAGTCTCCTGGTGATTGGCTCAAAATCATCCAGTTGGCTTTCATGCCTAAAGTGGAACTAGAACTCACAGTCTCCTAGTGATTGCCTCAAAATCACCCAGTTGGCTTTCATGCCTAAGGTGAAACTGGAACTCACAGTCACCTGATGATTGGCCCAAAGTCATCCAGCTGGCTTTCATGCCTAAGGTGGGACTAGAACTCACAGTCTCCTGGTTTTTAGACCAGCCCCTTAACCACTGGCTGATAATAAGCTTGTGTTGGCCAGAATATTGGTGCTCTAAGTGCTCCTCAACAGGAAGAATATTTCCCCAGGAAAATTGGCCACCAATTTGGAAGATAGTTTAGTGTTTTTTTTTTGCTTTTTTAAAATTTGATTTATATGCCGCCCTTCTCCGGAGACTCAGGGCGGCTTACAATGCGTTAAGCAATAGCCTTCATCCTTTTGTATATTTATACAAAGTCAGCTTATTGCCCCCACAAACTGGGTCCTCAATTTACCTACCTTAGAAAGGATGGAAGGCTGAGTCAACCTTGAGCCTGGCGAGATTCGAACTTACAGTAATTGCAGACAGCTGGTGTTAATCACAATGCTTTTAGTCTGCTAGGCCCTCCTGGCCCTCCTGGCCCTCCTGGGGCCTCCTGGCTAAAACATCTGAATTCAGTGAAGGTGACTGGGATGGCGATGGAATTAGAGATGCCAAACGGACATGAAAACTCACCTCCTGTGTCTCGCGTACTTTCCCCGAATGTGTCCTGATCCGTTGCATCCTGGAGTGGGACAGCTGTGTGAAGAGGGTGACACACACAAGAAATAAAGGAAATAAAAGCAGGTATAATTTCCAAGACGGAGGGGAGGGGAAGTGGGAAGAGAGAGACACCAAATCAACTCAACCTCAGGTAGTCCTCGACTTACAAGATTTTAGTGACCGTTACAACGGCACTGGACAAAGTGAATTATGAGTGTTTTTCACACTTAACAATCTTTCCAGGATCCTCATGGACGTGTGATCTCAACTGGGATAACAATAGCGATAGTATTTAGACTTATATACCGCTTCACAGTGTTTTACAGCCCTCTCTAAGCGGTTTACAGAGTCAGCTTCTTGCCCCCAAACAATCTGGGTCCTCATTTTACTGACCTCGGAAAAATGGAAGGCTGAGTCAACTTTGAACCGGTCAGGATCGAACTTCTGGCATTGGGCAGAGTTAGCCTGCAATACTGCATTTTAACCACTGCGCCACCTCGGCTCTATACAGATTGCTTGGCAGTTGGCATGACTTACAACACAAAAGCACTGAAAAAAAGTGATTTATAATCCGTTTTCACACTGTTGCGGCATCCCCATGATCAAAATTCAGACGCTTGGCAACTGACTGGTATTTATGACGGTGGCAGCCGTCCCAGGAAGGTCACGTGATCCCCTTTTGTGACCGTCTTACAAGCAAAGTCAATGGGGAAGCCAGATTCACTTAACAACCGGGTTCCGAACTTAACTAAAGCAGTGATTCGTTTAACAACCGTGGCAAGAAAGGTGGTTAAACGGGGCAAAACTCAACCGCTGTCTTGCTTAGCGACAGAACTTTGAGGCTCAGCTGTTGGTCGTAACTCGAGGACTACCTGTACATGATTGATGGAGAGCACCTGAAGGCACCAGGTGCTTCTGAGAACAAAGTGACACCTAGAAGCATCTCAGGGAAGAGAAGAGAATGGATTCCCTTTCGACATTTCCTCGGCTGCTTTTGAATTCAAAGGAGGGAAGGCGGCGTGATTTGTGATTTGCTAAAAATTAATGAAATGAGTCACCCCATTTAATTAAATGAAGGGCTCATTATAGTTTTATGAGTGTGTTTAATTAAAGATTTGCATATGTAAGAGCAGGCCTTTTAAAAGCAAGCAATTCCCACACTTAGGCTCTTAACGGCCAGGGAATTTCATTTTATTTATGTGTTATAGTTTTTCTCTCCCTCATTCACACACAGACACACAAACACACACAGACGCACACATGTCATATCACTCCATCCTATGGAGTTTCTGCCCCTTCCTACGTCTTTGCAGGGGAAGGATACTGTAAAATCTCCATTCCCACCCCACTCCAGGGGAAGGATACTGTAAAATCTCCATTCCTTCCCCACTCCAGGGGAAGGATACTGTAAAATCTCCATTCCTTCCCCAATCCAGGGGAAGGATACTGTAAAATCTCCATTCCCTTCCCAATCCAGTGGAAGGTTACTGCAAAATCTCCATTCCCTTCCCAATCAGGGGAAGGATACTATAAAATCTCCATTCCCTCCCCAATCCAGGGGAAGGATACTGTAAAATCTCCATTCCCTCCCCAATCCAGTGGAAGGTTACTGCAAAATCTCCATTCCCCCAATCCAGGGGAAGGATACTATAATCTCCATTCCCTCCCCAATCCAGGGGAAGGATACTGTAAAATCTCCATTCCCTCCCCAATCCAGTGGAAGGTTACTGCAAAATCTCCATTCCTTCCCAATCCAGGGGAAGGATTACTATAAAATCTCCATTCCCTCCCCAATCCAGGGGAAGGATACTGTGAAACCTCCATTCCCACCCCACTCCAGGGGAAAGGATATTGCAAAATCTCCGTTCCCACCCTACTCCAGGGGAAGGTTACTGCAAAATCCCCATTTCCTCCCGATCAGCTGGGACTCGGGAGGCAGAGAATGGATGGGGGCGGGGCCAGTCAGAATTTTTACTACTGGTTCTCTGAACTACTCAAAATTTCTGCTACTGGTTCTCCAGAACTGGTCAGAACCTGCTGAAACCCACCTCTGGTTGTACTATCCCTGCGATCATGTAATCACAATTTCAGCCCTTGGCATTGTTGTGGCTCCATTGCCTGAGCCTGGGCTATCGACAGATGCAGACTCTGAGAGTGAGGGAGAGGAGTTGGCAAGGCCTCCCTCTCCAGGACCCTCCTCTCTGGCAATGCCTCTGGAGGACACCGAAGGCCAAGAGATAGGCCCAGAGCCAAGCACGTCCCCGCAGCCACAGGTGGACAGCGACGAAGGAGATAAGTGCTGGCTGGATCCTCGACAGCAGTGCAGGGAGAAGTGTGCGCAGCAGAGGGGAAGGCGTGCCAGAGATTAGCTGAGTCACTGGACCACACCCCACAGGGTATAAATGTGGGTATGGTGGCCGGTTCAGTTTGTGACGAGCAAAAACTAGAAATAATCCATGATCTCTGTGTTACTGGACTTCTGCCTGCCTTGTCGGACTGCATTTGGACTAATCCTTGTATTGCTGAAACTTTGCCTGCTTTATCGGAATGCTTGCAGTCTAATCTTTGTTTTGTGTGAGTAAAGTCTGAATTGGCAGCTAGCCACTGGGTTGCTGCCAGCTTTATCTTCAAAGACTTTGTCGTGTGGCTTATTAACTCCGGGCCGTCTGTGGGGGTGCGTGTGTGGGACGGGGACAGAACAGGCATCTGGTTGGCATTTAGGACTGGCTGCAGCTTCCTGCGATTAGGATTTGCAACCTTTTTTGTCAAGGCCTGGGAAAGCTTTAATTTGCATAACGACGGCTGTAAAAATGGTCATAAACGGGGTCCGACTTGAATTATAACTGCAAAACCTGCGGCTGAAATTCTGATCTCAATTCTAGCTGTAAGTTGAGGACTATCTATATAGCCGGTCCTCACACTTACGACCGTTGCAGCATTTTCCCAGGGTCACGTGATCAAACTTGGGGCGCTTGGCAACCAATGTGTACAGGTAGTCCTTGATTTACGACAGCTCACTTAGTGACCGGTCGAAGTTACAATGGCACTGAAAAAAGTGACTTATGACCGTTTTTCATACTTATGACCGTTTCAGCATCCCCCATGGTCACAGGATTTTCGTTCGGATGCTTGACAACTGACTCACATTTATGACGGGTGCAATAAATAACCTGGCATCATGTGATTCCCCTTTTGTGACCTTCTGACGAGCCAAGTCAATGGGGAAGCCAGATTCACTTAACAACCGTGTTACTAACTTAACAAGTGCAGTGATTCACTTAACAACGGTGTCAAGAAAAGTTGTAACAAATGTCTCCCTTAGCAATATAAACTTTGGGCTCAGTTGTGGTCATAAGTCGAGAACTACCTGTATTTTTGACTTCCCTGCCGTCTTCCCACAAGCAAAGTCAATGGGGGAAACTGGATTCATTTAATGACCACATGATTCTCTTAACAACTGCAGTGAGTCGCTTAATAACCATGGGAAAAAAGTTGATAAAATCAGGGATGACTCACTTAACAACCACCTTGCTTGGCAATGGAAGCATTGGGGAGCCATGGTCCTAATTATGGTTGTAAGTTGAGGACTACCTGTTTTCCAGAATAGGCCATGAGTGAATGGATCCCAAATGAAACCTCAACATCCAACCGCTCAGAATTTGGTACCGGTGGTCCTTGATTTATGATCACAATTGAGCCCCAAATGTATGTTGCTAAGTGAGACAGTTGTTAAGTGAGTTGTACCCCATTTTACGACCTTTCTTGACACAGTTATGAAGTGAATGACTGCAGTTATTAAATTAGTGACACAGAAAACCCTCTCCCTTTTCAGACCAATGGCTATCCAATTGATGAAGCACCCACAACTTCTGAAGGCAAACTGTTCCACTGGTTCAGAGGTCAGCAACCTGAGGCTCTGGAGCCGCGTGTGGCTCTTTCACCCCTCTGCTGCGGCTCCGTCGCTCAAAATATGCGTCACAGCCGCCAATGTGCGACACCTGTCGGCACGCAATTTATTGAGCTTTTCAACCCCCGGTAGGCCAACCATGGATAAATCCAAGAAAAGAAAAGTTTCAGAAGAAAACAGAACGTTTAATTCAACTACATATGCTAGTTTTGTGGCCGCTCAACAAATAGTCAGGCACAGGGAGGGTTTTGTGGCTCCCGGTGTTTTCTTTTCTGTGGGTCCAAATGGCTCTTTGAGTGTTTAAGGTTGCAGACCCCTGCACTGGTTGATTGTCCTCACTGTTAGGATCAGGGGTGGGTTCTAAATTTTTTTACTACCGGTTCTGTGGGCGTGGCTTATTTTGTGGGTGTGGCTTGGAGGTCATGTGACTAGGTGGGCGTGGCTAGCTGGTCAGAGTCATTTCTGGAAGGTCGTCGCACTTACGACCAGTCCTTGCACTTACGACCCGACTCATTTGTTTGCTTTTAACACTGATCAGCTGTAGGACGGCCCTTTGAAGCCCCCCAGCAAGAGTTTAAACAGTTTTTTTCCCTCTAGTCATCAGCTGGGACTCAGGAGGCAGCAATAGATTGGGGGTGGGACCAAATAAAAGGTAAGAATAATGTGGGAGGGCAGGGGGGAGAACCGGTTTGGTGACGTCATAACGTCACCGCTACCGGCTCGGCCGAACCGGACCGAACCGGGAGGAACCCACCACTGGTTAGGATGCTTCTCCTTAATTCCTTAAGAATAATCCACCAAGTATTCCTGAAAACACACCAACTTTTCAGGGTTCATGGGGCATATGCAAATCCCGTGGGTCGAATAAGAGAGGTTCCTCATTAGAAAACCCCAGGTGTCAAAAGAGCAATTGGAAGCTACCCAGTCCAACTTCCTACGGTGTTTCTATTTTGGGGGAAACAGGCTGTTATGCAGATTACCGAGCACCAGGCGCCCGTCCCGGCCTGCCTTTTATTGTCGAACACATCAGCAGAGGTGGCAATTGATGCCAATGACATATTTCAGGGGCAGCCTGATTACGCACAGCCCTCGCTGCAGCTGTCCCCTAACTGCCTGATTAACTGGACAATTAATCGACTAATTGAAGCCCAGGCTGTGCCCGTGACAAAGGCAGAGGAGGCGACGGGAGAAAGACATTAACCATGGACAAGAAGGGGGGTGGCGGCAGTGGGGGGGCTGCGTTCCAAGGCTGCTGAGAAATTGGCGGTGGCTACACTTGTAAACACAGCGGGGTGTGGAGGAGAGTGGGTCGGATCTTGGAGGCAGCCGAGCAGATGGAGTCACCTCCGTTGCCAGGTGCCACTTTGAAAGTCTGCCCGACTTTGCAAAGATTTTGGTCTCTCTTGAGAGGGGGTGGGGGTGAGGATAATTTGGAATGGAAGGAGCCCCTCTTTTTTGAGTGGTTGCCACAAAGAAGAGGGGAGGAGGGTTTCAACCTATTCTCCAAAGCATCAGAAGGCAGGACAAGAAACAATGGAATACTGCTATCATGTCACCTCTGATCCTCCTCCTCCTCCTCCTCCTTCCTCCTCCTCCTCCTCCTCCTCCTCCTCCTCCTCCTCCTCCTCCTCCTCCTTCCATATCCATCATCGGACATTGGTGATCCTATTTTTATCAACAGCCGCACGAAAAAGTGCGGCTGAGTTTTCTCCAAACCAAAATCCCTTAGATTTTGAAGCCATGATGTTCTTCTTCTGCCTGGACCTCGTTTGCCTTCAATCTTTCCTTGGAGGTATGGCGTATTTTTCCAGGTGTCGCATCACACGTCCAAAATACTCTAACTTTCGCTTTTTAATGGCTTTGATGATTTCCCTTGGCTTTTCCAGGTGGCTTATCGCCTCCTCATTTCTGATTTTGTCAACCCAAATTATACGTAACAGCCGCCTGTAAATCCACATATTTCAAATGCTTCTGGTCTCTTCCAGTGGCTTTCCGTCAGAGACCAACTCTCCACTCCGTAGAGCAGATGTAGCATCTGACAAGCCTGATTTTCAGTCTTAGGCTGATGTCGTGACTGCAGAGGAGCTTTTTCATTTTGAAGAATGCTGTTTGAACTTTCTCTATCGTTGCTTTTACTTCGGTGGTCATGTCCCAGCTTTCGTGTAAATTAGAACCGAGGTACGTGATCCTTTCAATTTTTTCCAGCGGTATTCCTTCCGAAGTTATCCATGGTAAATTCATGGGTTGTTTGCCGACGACCATGATCTTGGTTTTTGAGATGTTTAAGCTTCATGGCAGAGGTGGGTTTTAGCAGGTTCTGACCAGTTCTGGAGAACCGGTTGCGGAAATTTTGAGTAGTTTGGAGAACCGGTAGTAAAAATTCTGACTGGCCCCGCCCCCATCTATTCTCTGCCTCCTAAGTCCTAACTGATCAGGAGGAAATGGGGATTTTGTAGTAACCTTCCCCTGGAGTGGGGTGGGAATGGAGATTTTACAGAGCCTTTTACAGATTTTATAGAGCCTTGGTGGCACAGCGGACTAAACTGCTGTTAAAGTAGCACTTAGCTGCCAGCTGCCTGCAATTACTGTGAGTTCAATTCTCACCAGGCTCAAGGTTGACTCAGCCTTCCATCCTTTCTAAGGTAGGTAAAATGAGGACCCGGATTGTGGGGGCATTAAGCTGACTTTGTATAAAAAAGAACACCGCTTAGGGGGGCCCAAAAAGCCCTACTAAGCAGGTATATACAAAAGTATGAAAGCTATTGCTTAAAGCATTGTAAGCCGCCCTGAGTCTCCGGAGAAGGGCGGCATATAAATTGAACTAATAAATAATAATAAATAAATACAGTATCCTTCCCCTGCCACGCACACCAAGCCATGCCTATCAAGCCATGCCACACCCATCAAGCCACACCCACAGAACCGGTAGTAAAAATTTTTGAAACCCACCACTGCTTCAAAGCCAAATTTTTCAGATATTTCTGTGACTCTTTTCTCTAGATTAGCCAAACCCTCCCTTAGTTGAAAAGAAGATCAACTAAGATGATTAAAGGCTTGGAGACTAAAACATATGAAGAACGGTTGCAAGAATTGGGTATGGCCAGTCCAGAGAAAAGAAGAATTAGGGGTGACATGTTAGCAGTATTTCAGTATTTGAGGGGCCACCACCAAGAAGAGGGAGTCATCTTATTCTCCACAGCCTCTGAGGGCAGGACAAGAAACAATGGATGGAAACTGATAAAGGAGAGACGCAACCTAGAACGAAGGAGAAATTTCCTAACAGTGAAGATAATTAATCAGTGGAATGGCTTGTTCAGAATTCTGAGTGCTCCATCACTGGAAGGTTTTAAAAAGAGACTGGACAGCCATTTGTCTGAAATGGTACACGGTCTTCTGCTTGAGCAGGGGGTTGGACTAGAAGACCTCCAAGGTCCCTTTCAAATTCTGTTATTCACAGAAGGTCCTTCAAAGGGACGGTGAAGGACCTCAAGCCACAACCCGAGCTAAGAAAGCTGTGGACAGTACAGTAGCCTTCAGAAACGTGGCACCTTCCAGATGTGTCCAGACTCTGCAGGTCATCTTCGACATACAACTATTCGTTTAGTGACCGTTCAAAGTTACAACGGCACTGAAAAAAACTGACTTAACCGTTCTCACACTGGCCACCGTTGCAGCTTTCCCACAGTCCCATGATCAAAATTCAGGCAACCTTGACAACCAGCATGTATTTAGTATTTGCAGCATCTTGGGGTTGCGTACGTTGTGGTCTGCCGGCAGCCTGCGTAGCTGGCCGCGGAGTCGGACAGTGAGGAGGCTGGGGAGGAATATGGGCCAGTCCTGGAGTCTGGGGAAGGCTCGGATGAGGGCTCTGCGTCAGAGGCAGAGAGGGGGCCAGGGCCATCTGGGAGTTATACACAGACTCTGGAGCCTCCAGAGTCAGATATCAGAGAGGCAGAGGAACAGGAGGAGCCTGTTCCTAGTGTGTGCATGTGCAGAGCTGCCAGAAGGCAAGAATAGTTAAAACTAAAGGGATGACTCGGGAGTAAGGCCTGGAGGTGATTGGCCTCTCCCATAAGGCTTAAAAGAGGAGCAAAGGCACGTGGGCTCTTTGCAGGAAAGCAACGTTGTTAATTCTGTTCCCAGTCGGCATCTCTGTTTGATTCTGGACTCCGTGTGGCTTTGCCAAGTAGGTCTTTGGCAGAGTGTCAAGGGAGATAAAGGTTGGTGATTATCCTGAAGGACTTTTTGCAACTAATTGGGACTCAGCTGTGAATGAACGTAATTCACAGCTCTTGCAATAAAAGAGGTTTTTGGGACTACTTGTGTGTTTTAATGACTCAGGAAGCCTAGGTCACAACAGCGTGATTGCCGTTTGTGTCCTCCCCAGCTGGCTTCTGACCACAGAGTCAATGGGTGAAGCCCAATTCACTTAATGTCCCCATGTGTCAGGGTTCCAAGGAACACCCCCAACGAACCCTGACACTGTGATTCATTTAACAACGGCAGCGATTCGCTTAAGAAACACGACAAGAACTGTCACGTCCATCACGGGGGCGAAACAGCAAGCAGATCTATTAGAGATCAGATCCAAGATATGGTTCCTTACCTCAACTCCTGCCCAATGAGTTCTGTTGGTACTGCAGGAGCAAGAAGGAAGAACAGAAGAAAACAAGGTCAAAGAGAAAGAAGATTAAGGCAGTTTTGGAAAAAAAAAAAGTCACTCGGTGCAAATTGCAAACATAACTTACTGCCCCCACCAAATAGCAACCACAACTGGTCTACATACTAATTTGAATCCTTTGATCATGCTTAGTATGGTCCAGCATTGGTCAAAGCTCAAATCTCATTCCATAAATTCAATCAATATACTGTGGGTCCATGATGGTGAACCTATGGCATGCATGTCACAGGTGGCACATGGAGCCATATTGGTGTGCACGCGAGCTCAGCTGTGGCGCACATGTGTGTGCTGGCTAGCTGATTTTCGGGCCTTCTGGGCCACCCGGAAATAGGGAAACAGACTGTTTCCTGCCTCCGGAAGGCCTCCATGGGGGTTGGGGAAGGCTGTTTTTGCCCTCCCCAGGCTCCTAGAGAGGCTCTGGAGCCTGAGGAGAGCAAAAAACAGGCCTACTGGGCCCACCATGCCATTGTGTGCCAAAAGCGGGGGGAGCACAGGAGGACCGTGCGTGCATGCGTGGGGGTGGGGCACATAGAATTATGGGTGTGGGCACGCATGTGTGTGACCCACCCCCGCTCCCCCCCACTTTTGGCACGCGATGGCAAAAAGGTTAGCCATCACTGCTGTAGGTAGTCCTCGACTTACAACAGTTCATTTAGCATTCGTTCAAAGTTTACCACGGGACTGGGAAAAGTGACTTTACGACCATTTTTCACACTTATGACCATTGTGGCATTCCCGTGGTCACATGATCAAAATTCGGACGCTGGGCAACCGGTTCATATTTATGATGGGTTGCAATGTCCTGGGGTCATGGGATCCCCTTTGCTGACCTTCCAACAAGCAAAGTCAATGGGGAAGACAGATTGGCTTAACAACTGGGTTGCTAACTTAACAAATGCAGTGACTCACTTAACAACGGGGGGCAAGAAAAGTCGTAAAATGGGGGCAGATGTCTCACTTAGCAACATAGATTTCGGGCTTCACTATGGTTGAGGACTCCCTGTAGTGAAGCAACATTTTTTGCAAATCTTATAGTCTGAACACTCTGTTCCTCTTTCTTCCCCCCGTTTAATAACTCAGTCCAATTAACATTTCTGGAAAATGCAGTCCCTGGCTTTATGATTTAGGAGCATTGTCATTGGCTCAACAAAGGGAATGCCCTCCTGTGGCAACCGGGATTCATCTGCTTGTTTAGATGAATGACCCAATGTAGCTACCACTGATTTGGGGTTAATTTGCTGCAGCTTCTGGGACAGCAAACTGAAATATTGTCAGGCTCTCTTGGCCGATCGGTTTGAATTAGAGAATTGATTCCAAATGGGATAGAAAAGGCCTTGATAATGGTGTTTTGAACCCGTCATTGCAATTCTGCAATGATGAATCTATATCTATCTGTCGGTCCATCTATCTATCTGTCTGTCTGTCTGTCTGTCTGTCTGTCTGTCTGTCTATCTATCTATCATCTATCTATCTATCTATCTATCTATCTATCTATCTATCTATCTATCTATCTATCTATCTATCTATCTATCTATCATCTATCTCTATCTATCTATCTATCTATCTATCTATCTATCTATCTATCTATCTATCTATCTATCTATCTATCTATCCATCCATCCATCCTTCCTTCCTTCCTTCCTTCCTTCCTTCCTTCCTTCCTTCCTTCCTTCCTTCCTTCCTTCCTTCCTTCCTTCCATGGCTTAGGGCCTGGTTATTTACGGGACCGCCTACTACCACCAATAGCCTCCCACCGGCCAGTACGCTCTCATAGAGAGGGACTCCTCTGGGTGCCGTCAGCCAAACAGTGTCGACTGGCGGCCCCTAGGGGGAGAGCCTTCTCTGTGGGGGCACCTACCATCTGGAATGAGCTCCCCCCGGAGATACGGAGGATCCCAGATCTGCGCTCCTTCCGCCGTGCTGTGAAGACCTTTTTATTCCATCAAGCGGGCTTGGCCTAATTTCTTCCCTTTTTAAATATGTAAATTTTAATCTGTTTTTAAATTATTGGGGTATTTTAATTTGTCTGGGCCAAATAATTTAATTTGATTTTATCGGGTTTTTAAATTTTGTGTATTTATGTATTTTATTGTTGGCTGTTCACCGCCCTGAGTCCTTCGGGAGTAGGGCGGTATACAAATCAAATAAACTAAACTAAACTAAACTTCCTTCCTTCCTATCTATCTATCATCTATCTATCTATCTATCTTTCTATCTATCTATCTATCTATCTATCTATCTATCTATCTATCTATCTATCTATCTATCTATCTTTCCTCCCATCTCTACTTATCACTCCTTCCTTCCTTCCTTCCTTCCTTCCTTCCTTCCTTCCTTCCTTCCTATCTATCTATCTATCTATCTATCTATCTATCTATCTATCATCTATCTATCTATCTATCTATCTATCTATCTATCTATCTATCATCTATCTATCTATCTATCATCTATCTACCTCTATCTCCCTTCTTCCCTTCCTTGTTCCCATCTCCTTCCTTTCTTTTCTCATCCTTTTCTCCTTCCTTCCTCCTTTTCTTTCTTCCTTCTTTCCTTCCTCCCATTTCCTTGTTCCTTCCTTTCATCTCCCCCCCTTCTTTCCTTCCTTCCTCCCTCCTTTTCTTTCTTCCTTCTTTCCTTCTTCCCATTTCCTTGTTTCTTTTCATCTCCCCCTCCCCTTCTTTCCTTCCTCCCTCCCTCCCTCCCTCCTTTTCTTTCTTCCTTCTTTCTTCTTCCATTTCCTTGTTCCTTCCTTTTCATGTCCCCCTCCCCCTTCTTTCCTTCCTTTCTTCTTCCTTTCCCTCCCTCCTTTTCTTTCTTCCTTCTTTCCTTCTTTCCATTTCCTTGCTTCTTCCTTTTCATCTCCCACCCTCCCTCCCTCCCTCCCTCCCTCCTTCCTTCCTTCCTTCCTTCCTCCCTCCCTCCCTCCCATCCTCCCTTCCTTCCTTTCAAAGCCTGAAAATAAATAGACATCCAACTCAGAGTTAACCGCTTATTTTTCCTCCATTCCCTACACTCATCAGCCTTGCATTCTTCCATGCCCAGCACTTCCCTTCCCAGCCAAATGCAAAACTTTAAAGTCTCAGGCTGTGATAAAAGCAGTCTGTCGTTGTGTAGCAAATCAGGCGTGTATGCCTGGTTTTTAAAGAAGGAAAAGGAGCAAGGGAGGAATTAGAAAACCAACTGGAAAGTTGGTGCCTGGGTTGAATGGCCATTTGAGTCATTGGCCAAAGCAGTCTGTCGGGAATAATTGGGAAGGGGAAATGGCTGTGCGCAAACGACACACAAAAACACACAAGGTCTCATCCTCAGGCAGGATTCCATTCAGACCAACGTGTCTGAACCATCTGCACCCGTGTTTCCCCATGGAGAGTGGAACAAAACGCTTACCTCTAATTGCCTTGGACCGTGTTCGTGCTCGTTTATCATCATTCTCTAAACTCATCTGGAATCCAACAACAATAGAATTTAACATTGTGTTCAATAAAAAAGCATTTCACAGTCAAAGTTAAGGTTGTTTCTCTAAAATTGGGATGGCCTAAAGAAAGTGGGAAAGGCCAGGGGTGGGCTTAAATTTTTTTAGCAAGGAGTTCTCTGCCCGGTTGCTGGGTGGGCGTGGCAATGGTGTGTGTGGCCTAGTTGGCCTCCTGCACCACGGCGGGGGACGGGGGGGGACGGGGACAGGATGGCTTTTTGCCCTCCCCAGGCTCTGGAGGCTTTCCTTGAGCCTCCAGGAGGGCGAAAACGGCCTCCCCAGGCTCCGGAGGCCCTCTGGAGGCCGGAAACGGGCCCATTTCTGGCCTTCCTGAACTTCCAGTAGTCCCATTTTTCACCCTCCCTGAGCCTCCACACGTGGTGCACTTACCTGCATCCAAAATTGGCCACGTGGGGACTCCTGGGAGGGGAGGGGTGGGCAGAGCCACCCAGGAGTGGGATTTGGGGGTTCTCCGAACTGCACTGAATCTTGGCTAAAGGTTCTTCCGAACCCCTGCGAACCCCCAGCAGCCCACCCCTGGGAAAGGCTCTAAGCAAAGGTGTCCAACCTTAGACACCTTAAGACCTGTGGACTTCAACTCCCAGAATTCCCCAGCCAGCCCAAGAAACTTTGGAAAAAGTACCAAGAAGAGCAACTAAAATGATTAAGGGCCTGGAGACAAAAAGGTACAGAGAACGGTTGAAGGAATTGGGTATGGCCAGTCTAGAGAAAAGAAGGACCAGGGGTGACATGACAGCAGTAATCCAGTATTTGAGGGCTGCCACAAAGAAGGGAGGGGGTCAATTTATTTTCCAAAACACCAGAAGGCAAGACAAGAAAGTTACAACGACACTGAAAAAAGTGACTTTGGACCATTTTTCACACTTACGACCCTTGCAGCATCCCTGTGGTCACGTCGTCAAAATTCAGATGCTTGTCAACAACCATTCGAAGTTACAACATCACTGAAAAAGTGACTTATGACCATTTTTCACACTTATGGCCATTGCAACATTCTCATGGTCACGTGACCCAAGATTTGGAAGCTCAGCAACGGGTTCGTATTTCTGTCGGTTGTAGTGTCCCAGGGTCATCTGATCCCCTTTTGTGACCTTCTGACAAGCAAAGTCACTGGGGAAGCCAGATTCACTTAACAACTCTGGCAAAAGAGGTCGTAAAATGAGGGAAAATTCACTTAAAAATGTCTCACTTAGCAACAGAAATGCAGGGCTCCAGGGCAGTCGTAAATCGAGGACTACCTGTTTATAGAACCTGGCATCTCAGTTTGAAATGATGGGAGCCTTCCTTGTGATTGTAACAAAATTTTCCTAGTTGAAATTTAGACAGATTCATCACAGAATTGAAAGGTTGATTTACTTCCCAAAGCAAGGACAGCTTATACAGGTAGTTTTGTGGCCCGTCAGCGGCCTGTGCAGCTAGTAGCTGATTCGGACAGCGAGGAGGCTGGTGTGGTGCTGCGCCAGCAGCCTGTGCAGCTGGCACTCGAGTCAGACAATGAGGAGGCTGGAGAAGTTGTGGTGCCAGAGGCAGGGATTCAGCCAGGGCCTTCAGAACCTCCAGAAGCTCCCATAAGTGAAGAGGAAGAAGAGGAGGAGCCTCTTCTCGATGCACGGGCGCGCAGAGCGGCCAAAAGGCAGGAGTGGCTCCTCAGGAGGAGGCCTCCTCAAGAGTAAGGCTTGGGGCTAATTGGCCTCTCCCTTGGCCTATTTAAGGAAGGATGATGACTGAGGCAATTTGCAGGGAACAACTTCGTTCATTCTCCTTCGCGTCCTGATCTTAGTTCTCATATCACTTTCCTGCAAATTGCTTCTGCGCTTTCTCCCAACCCTAGTAAGATTACGATTATTTATTCTTTGGATTCTTGTAGGCTGTTAAGAAACTTAATTAACAGCCTTTGTTTGAAAAAGACTGATTTAATTTAGTAAACTAAGGTTTGTACAGACTTTGTGTGTGCTGCGTTCTTTGGGGTCCGTAGCTGGGGCAGAACAGGTAGTCCTCGATTTACGACTGTAATCGAGCCCGAAATTTATGTTGCTTAGGGAGACATTTCTTAAGTACGTTTTGCCCCATTTTACAACTTTTCTTGCTGTTAAGTGAATCACTGCAGTTAAGTTAATAAGCTGGCCGTTAAGCGAATCTGGCTTCCCCATTGACTTTGCTTGTCAGAAGGTCACAAAAGGGGATCACGTGACCCCGGGACACTGCAACCGTCATAAATATGAACCAGTGGCCAAGCTTCCAAATCTCGGGTCACGTGACCAGGAGGATGTTGCAACGGTCAATAAGGGTGAAAAATGGTCATAAGTCACTCTTTCAGTGATGTTATCTTCGAATGGTCACTAAATGAGCTATTGTAAGTCGAGGAATACCTGTAGCAACCCCACCTCCTTTCAATATATGGATGTCAGCAATAGGTGGAATGAATTTATTCCTCAAATATGCAGATATTTGCAGAATGCTTATCAAACATTTGACTTATATCTACCTCCTCCTCCCCGGGATCTAATTTCAACACTTCATGGTTAATTTTGATATTGGATGTCAACATTTGATATCTGCTTGTACTTGATAGCAGCTGTGTCATCTTGCTTTGTCTTTCACAATTTGATAGCTTATTAGAGTTCACCTTGTCATGCTTCCAAAAGGAAAATAATCAAAAAAGATTCCAAGGAACCTAAGGAAACCATTCTTTTCTTTTCTTTTTTTAAAAAATGGTGCGGGAAACAAAAAAAATATAAGCTATTGATCTATCAGATTCAGTAAGGCCTTTGGATGATAGCAGGCCCCAGAATAAAAAGACATGAACCAAAGTTTTAGATAGGATGATTTCAAAATGTATCAGAACTATTTGTAATCCTGCTGAGCCGTTGCTAATTGGGAAACATGATTTTGCAAAGTATGTTAGCTTTATAAATATATTTGGACCAGTGGAGGGTTTCAAATTTTTTTACTACCGGTTTTGTGGGCGTGGCATGGCTTGGTGGGCGTGGCAGGGGAAGGATACTGTAAAATCTCCATTCCCACCCCACTCTAGGGGAAGGATACTGCAAAATCCCCATTTCCTCCCGATCAGCTGGGATTTGGGGGGCAGAGAATAGATGGGGGCAGGGACAGTCAGATTTTTTACTACCGGTTCTCCGAACTACTCAAAATTTCCGCTACCGGTTCTCCAGAACTGGTCAGAACCTGCTGAAACCCACCTCTGATTTGGACGAAACCACGAGAAATAGGGAACTGAAAGTAGTCGATGGATAGAGGTTTGAGATGAACGTAGGTATTTGTGGAGACTGTCTGTCAGTAAGAAAGAGCAAGGAAGTCAGTTGTGAAATGCGTGCAGAAAAGTATAAATAGAATATCTTGGGATGAATTCAGGACCACCGGCCATAGCTACTCCTTGCTTGCTGGACTCAGCTATGTCAGTGGACCTCATTGCAATGAGTTGTTACTCTAAGTTGTGTTATGATGGCTGCTCATGTCCCAAATTGCTCATGAAATAAACCTTTAATAAACCTTAAAGTAAGAATTGTTATTTGTATTGCGGTCTCCTGTTTCTTTTATTGGGATATTCTTACGACAATGGCCATGTAAGGGGTTTTTGCCAGTCAAAAAGCAAATTTGAATCTTAAATGTCTTCTAAAAAGTTGGCAAAGCTTGGAAGTTTTAAGGATATACTTTTGTTCCTTGTGGGGCTATTTAAACAGTTCTAAAGTCAGGTATTCCTGATTTATTGTAGATTTTTAAAATCCTCTTTAATGGAATGCTCACATACATGTCTGCAGGAATATTCACATATAATACAGAGGGAATACATTTGATCCACAGCTTAAACAATAGAACAAAGGATAATAGGGTCGGAAAGGACCTTGGAGGTCTTCTAGTCCAACCCCGTGCTCAAGCAGGAAACCCTATAACATTTCAGACAAATGGTTGTCCAATCTCTTAAAAACCTCCAGCAATGAAGCCACTACAACTTCTGGAGGAAAGCTGTTTTACTGGTTAATTGTCCCCACTCTTACTGAAGTTTCTCCTTAATTCCAGGTTGCTTCTCTCTTTGATTAGTTTCCAACCATCATTTCTTGTCCTGCCCTCTGGTGCTTTGGAGAATAATTTGACCCCTTCTTGGCAACCCTTCCGAGGTCGGTAAAATGACAACCCAGATTGTTGGGGGCGATATGATGGCTCTGCAAACCGCAGAATGGGACTTTTCGTCTCCTATCCTTGGCTGCACCTCCTTCTCCCCCAGCGTTCCGCTTTGGGTGATTCTCCTCTGACATTTCTCCTCGGCTAACACACCCTCATTCCAGGGGTGGGTTCTAAATTTTTTTACTACCGGTTCTGTGGGCATGGCTTATTTTGTGGGCATGGCTTGATGGTCATGTGACAATTATTTAGGATTTAGCAGAGGTACTGGTCTACCAGGCTTTTAACTGCTTGCAGAGCTGTACCGGTCTACCCATTTATTTTTGCAGGCACTGATCTACTCATGTATTTTTGCAGGCACTGATCTACTCATGTATTTTTGCAGGTACTGATCTACTCATGTATTTTTGCAGGCACTGATCTACTCATGTATTTTTGCAGGTACTGATCTACTCATGTATTTTTGCAGGCACTGGTCTACCCATTTATTTTTGCAGGCACTGATCTACTCATGTATTTTTGCAGGTACTGATCTACTCATGTATTTTTGCAGGCACTGGTCTACCCATTTATTTTTGCAGGCACTGATCTACCCATTTATTTTTGCAGGCACTGATCTACTCATGTATTTTTGCAGGCACTGGTCTACTCATTTGTTTTCTTTTAAGACTGGTCAGCTGTAGGGCGGCCCTTGGAAGCCCCACGGCAAGAGTTTAAACAGTTTTTTTCCCTCTAGCCATCAGCTGGGACTCAGGAGGCAGCAATAGATTGGGGGTGGGGCCAAATAAAAGGTAAGAATAACGCGGGGG